CAGTGGTGCTGAGCAGGCAGTGGCAAGGTCTGGGGAGGTCCTGGCAACCCCTTTGCCCACGCTGGGGAGCCCTCGGTGCCTTTGGAAGCCAAAGAGCAAAGTCTGGCTCATTATTTTTTTCCTGCCTGCAATTAGTCTGTCCCTTAACGACCCTCTTTCCTTCAGATGTGCTTATTATATTCACAGAGTCACAGACTGGTTTGGGTGAGAGGGGACATTAACGATAATCCAGTTCCACCCCTATCCCAGGTTGCTCCAACCCCCGTTCAACCTGGCCTTGGACATTTCCAGGGATGGAATATTCTTATCCTTTGGTTCTGTACAATTAAAATGGGGCAACAACCAACTCTCCAGTGGGGACATCGCCAGTGCCACCACTGGAGCACCAACCCCATCATCAGCTCCAGGATCCACAGGAGACGCTCCATGACCTGGTTCCTTGAAGAAGGTCTCCCAAGTCTCCTCTCTGCCTTGGCTTTTATTCCCCATCCCTCTTTGCCCTTTCTCTTCTGACCAGGAGACCACTCCCCACCGCATGTCTGCCCTTGAGAGCTGGCAGACATCGTGGGGTCCTTGCAATGGGGATGGGAAGAAAATTAATATAATTTGCACAAGATGAAGATAGAGCTCATCAAAGTAAGTGAACAGGGGATAAGGAGGTCTGGCCTCGTCTCCTGGCATGAGGGAATTTCTGGACCAGTTGGAGCTGTGAATCCAGCTGGCCTCCAGCTTGGAGTCACATTCTGGATGTGCATCTTATATCTTTATTAAGGGAAGTATCAGCAAATAATCCTAATCCCCATGATTTCTACACCAGCGTCTTTTAAGGTCTCACTCCAAGCTCTGCCTTGGGAATAGGTCTTGGCAGGGAGGGAGGGAACCCCTGATCTTTAAGCAAAGTTCAGATAAAGAAATTAATTAAATGGCCTCAAACACACATTGATGGTGGCGACCATGACATGACCAGTACCCAAACCCTCCAGAGGGCTGTCTTGAGGAGCGTTTGGGGCTCATGGGATAAGTCCCTAAATGCGTGTTTCAAGATTTAATTCTGCCGTTTAGGCTTTGGGTAGTCAGATAAGGTCGAGTGCCGTGGGTCAGAGTAAGCACAGGAGCGTTCTTGTCACGCTGTTAAACCACAGTCACCACAACGACGAGATATTTGGGGCAGGAACGGGTGTTTCCGTGACTCTGGCCGAGGCATCGCTCGTCCCCGCACGGCGCTCGCCGAAGGTGACGGTACAACGGAGTTCACGACCCGGGGAGCGATTGCCGGCTGTAATAGTGTGTCATGTATTAAGGGAGCATGTTTGAAACCACGTTATATTATTAAAATTCATGGCAGTGATTTATAGGGGTTTTTAAAAACAGCAGCTTGCCAATATAAATTGGCTTAGGAAAGTCAACTGTAATCCACCCAGGTCCAAATAATGACATTTCCTCCAATACATCCAAAAAGCTGAAAAGCAGAAAATAATATCCAGGCTCCAGAGATAAGGCGAGCACCCAAGGGAAAGAGGACTCTGAAATATTCATGCAGCCGTAGATTGGATGGTGGAAATGGCCATTCCCAACGGCTGCGTTTAGGGACTGATGAATTTAGTTACTGTACCTTTATATTTATCGCTCAATAAACAAGACAAGCTCTGTTACGACGCTGAGCAAGACTAATTTAGCTATTTTAGCACTAAGGAAATGGCTTTCTGGGCAAGGCGAGGGGTTGATAATTTTGTATGAAATTAGGAGACTTTTAATTTAGTGCTGGTGGGCTCTGAGGGTGCTGGGAATAACAGGGCTGGAGACCAGATCTGAGGATAAAATCCCCCCCCAGAGCGGTGTGTTGGGGTGCTTACCCTGGGTTTTGGGAGACCCCACACTGAGAGCGAGCGGATCCTTTTGGAGCCACCTGCACCTGCTGATGAAGATGTTCCAGCTCTTGATTTTTAAGATGATTTTTGGAGGCTGAGGATGTCACTATAAAGGTTTTACAGCTGCCCTGCTGGAATCAAGCGTGGCTCTGTAAAAGTGTCAGCAAATGAAGCGGTGATGCCCGAGTGGTATTAACGCCAAAATGACCTTTCCATAGTTAGGGCTTTATGGGATATTATAAATTCTCCCTGTGTTGGCAGGGTTATAACTGGGACATTAGCAGTAACATCTTCTCCAGCAATATCCGAGGCAGGAATGCGGCGTTCGGAGCTGAAAATGCCCAACTCAATTTTTTTATAATATTTCTGGAGCTGAAGAGTTGATTTGAGATGTTTCTATTTGAATGCACACGGTCAAAAGGAGATTTCTCCTCCTAAAGATAAGTTTTGAGCACTCAGGGTTTTTTTGAGGCTCCTAGTATTTCCAACAGCCAAAAATCAAAGCAATTTAAACATATCGCTTGGGGTTTTTTTATTTCTTTAGTTTCTAAGACTTCAGATTAATATTGTCAAACCTTTCTTTTATTGCCATGAAGTCAGGGAAAGTCCTTTTTAATGAAAGCCACAAGCTCTATGCAATACCTTGACTCCACAATGCTATCTGAAGCACCAGATTCCACTGAACTTACATGGAAATCCCCAGAGTGAGCCCACTCTGATCTTTTTTTCACCTCTTGCGTTGCCACTGGGAAATAAAATCAGTTTATATGCTGGTATTTATTATGAAGTATATATTTGGACAATCCATGCTGCAATTTAGTAGTTCCAAGAGCTTCAGGGAGTTGTTTGAAGGGACTTTTCACTCACCTGCTTATTGAAACCCTTTTTACAAAGTGCTGGGCTCAGTCTCACTGATTTATTCCCCGTGGCCTTCACTGTGACTGTTCTTTGGCTTTGGGGGCAGCTCCAGGAGGAGGGGATGGGGCTGTTCCTCCGTGCAGTGCTGCAGCACATGGGACAGTTGCAGGAGGGTGGCCCGTGGTTCACAGCCCCTGTTTTGGGGCAAGGACACACCTTAGAATCCCAGAATGGTTTGGGTTGGAAGAGACCTTAATGATCATCCAGTTCCAACCCCTGCCATGGGCAGGGACACCTTCCACTATCCCAGGTTGCTCCAAGCCCCATCCAACCTGGCCTTGGACACTTCCAGGGATGGGGCAGCCACAGCTTCTCTGGGCAACCTGTGCCAGGGCCTCCCCACCCTCACAGGTGCTGCCCCGCCAGTGCCTGAAGCAGCGGGAAAAGCAGACACAGGGATAACTGAGCAGGAGCCAGGATTAACTGGAATCTGATTTGCATTTCCAAGCACAGGTGTCATACTGTGACCCTGGAGGTCTCATCTCACCCACCCCCCAAAGAGCCCCCCTTCTCCAGCAGGTTTCTGCTGATGGCTTGGCTGGAGTTTTATGAGCAAAACATCAAAATAAAACCCACCCAGTCCTTAAATGCTGCATTTTGGAAGCTGTTCTTTGAGAGGACACAAAGTCACCAGCTGTCCCCGTGAAAGTGGTGATGCCCCGAGTTGCCCTGCACAACCCCCACACCACAGCCCCACACGTGAAAAGAAAAGCCCCACTCGGAGTCATTTACTCTAGCTTTATTTTCCTTGTACAAGTAGCCACAGGCTAAAATCTAAACAGAGCAAACTACAAAAAACCTGGGTTTTATTTTATTATTTTTTTTTAATACAGAGCTAACAATCGTGGGATCAGTGGGATTTCAATATCAAGACAGTTCAAAGTAAGAAAGGTAGAAAATAAACAGTAGAAAAGTGCTTTGCAATTTGGATTTTTAGTATTACTCCTAACAGTTGGTTCCCAAAAAGGACTGGGACAAAGGTTTAGCATCAGTTTTATTATGACTTTCTTACAAATGTAAAGATACTGCAAGTTTAAATGATGGAAATACGATCAAAGTACAAATCCCTCTTCACTTTAAGTCAGACCCTGATCCAAAGCCCCGTGAAATTAGGCTTGTCCCTGACTTGTTGGGCTTCACACTGGCCCTGTCCCTTCTTCCCACATGATGCCAAAGCCCAGGCTCTGCCCGTGGAGTAAACCTGGAGCTGTTTCCCTGATTCCCAGCGGGCTTCAGTGCCATGGCCCTGTGCCAGCAGCGCTTTTGGCTGGGGGTGCTGGTTCTTCCCTCATCCCCATCTCCAGCCCAGGCACCTTCCCTTTCATAGAATCACAGAATCAGCTGGGTCAGAAAAGACCTCTGAGATCATCAAGTCCAACCTCTGACCCAACACCACCTTGTCACCCAGCCCATGGCACTGATGCCTCATCCAGTCTGTCCTTAAACACCTCCAGGGACAGTGACTCCACTGCCTCCCTGGGCAGCCCATTCCAATGGCTGATCACCCTTTCTGTGAAGAAATTCTTCCTAATGTCCAACCTAAACCTCCCTTGGCACATCTCAAGGCTGTGTCCTCTTGTCCTATTGCTGGTTCCTGGGAGAAGAGACCAACCCCCACCTGGCTCCCCCTCCTGTCAGGGAGTTGTAGAGTGAGAAGGTCTCCCCTGAGCCTCCTCCTCTCCAGGCTGAGGCGCCCCAGCTCCCTCAGCTGCTCCTCACAGCACTTGTGCTCCAGTCCCTTCACCAGCTCTGTTGCCCTTCTTTGGACCTGCTCCAGCCCCTCCATGTCCTTCCTGAACTGAGGGGCCCAGAACTGGACACAGCACTCCAGGAGTGGCCTCACCAGCGCTGAGTCCAGGGGCAGAATCACCTCCCTGGTCCTGCTGCCACACTGTTCCTGATCCAGGCCAGGATCCATTGGCCTTCTTGGCCACCTGGGCACACTGCTGGCTCATGTTCAGCTGCCATCAATCAGTACCCCCAGGTCCCTTCCTGCCTGGCTGCTCTCCAGCCCCTCTGTCCCAGCCTGGAGCTGCAGGGGTTGTGGCTCAAGGGCAGGACCCGGCACTTGGCCTTGTTGAACCTCACACCGTTGGAATCAGCCCATGGATCCAGCCTGTCCAGGTCCCTCTGCAGAGCCCTCCTGCCTTCCAGCAGATCGACACTCCCCCCCCCCATCTTGGTGTCATCTGCAAATTTGCTAATGGTGGACTCAATCCCCTCATCCAGATCATCAGTAAGGATATTAAACAGGACTGGGCCTGACACTGATCCCTGGGGGACACTGCTAGTGACTGGACACCAACTGGGAACTGGCCATCAACTTTTCTTTCCCTTTTTTTAATTTGGTGGGGAGGGAAATAAATGAGCCGGCATCAAGTTGCTAGATGGGATCTGTAACCTGCCCGCTCCAGCGCGCACGGGGAGGGATAGATTTCCACACACTGTTTGCACAGATGAAGTGAGTAAGTAGCTCCCCCCCGTTTGTTTTCATAAGCTTTTAATTTCCTTTTTTTTAACTGATCTTCTCAGACTTAAGTGCTGTCACTCAGCTTCCCTTCACCATCCAGAAGCAACAATGCTTTGTAGCTTCTCTCCTCTTTTATTGCCAACTTAAAATCTACAGTCCCTTGTTATAATCTGGGCTGGAAGATTTAAAACTCCCAAACTGGACCAGCACTTAAATATATCAGCACCTTTACAAAACAAGAAAGAAGAAAGATAACGGTAGACAAATAAATACCCGAATCCAACAGTGTGAAAATACCCTGTCACAGCATAAAACTATTCCCTGTTCAACTAAAGACAATGTGGATACTGTCCCTGAGGTAGCAGCCATCTCTGGTCAACTTGAGAGCTCCAAGAATAGGTTGTGCCCATTATGGGTTACCAAAAATAAAAAAAATCAGCTTTTGGATATTTATTCCTTCCCATAATTTCATCTCACCACAGCCAGAAAATAAGAGGGTTTTTGGGATCAGCTGAGAGGGTTGAATTAGTGGAACTATTCGCTTGGAAAAATAATAAAGGATGAGATTCCTACCCCAAAGGTGGGTGGTTGCCAGCAGTTTGCACTGGATCCAGCACTTGCCCATTACCCAGCGGTTTTATCTCTGGGCAGCAGTTTGGATGAATCAAGGACAGGCTGTCCCTCAGGCTGAAACCAAACACAAGCTCTTTTTTGTTCTTTTTTTCCTTCTCATTTCACAGATTCAAGGCCAGACATACTCTAAGTGACACTTTCCCAAGTTTTTGGTTGTCACAGCTTTGTGTCCAGCCTGGCTCAGGCACTGATGTACAGCAAGAGGGGCTGTTATGTGTCACTTCTCCAGCTGAGAGGCACAAACCCAGAACGTGGCATTTTGAGTGGTCTTTTTGCCCAGTTTTGTGCACTTGGATAAGTCAGGGAAGACCATGCCCTCCTGATGGATCACCAGACCAGCCCCAGCCCTTCGTGGGCTGAGTTGCCGCAACCATCTACATTACGTCCCAACGGTACTGAAAAGAGTGGAAAAGAAACCCCAAAAAAGAGGAAAAGCTAGACTTCTAAAAAATAGTCTTTAAAGATTTACATCCATCTTCAACTGTCTCAAACCAACACAGAATCTGCATTGGTTTAAGCCACCACATTTCTGCATAATTAAAAAAAAAAAAAACAAAAGAAAAAGCTCTACTCTTGACATACTATCGTATTCCAACTAGTCAAATGGCACAGCATTTCCCTTTAATAAAAGGAAGTAGTGACAAATACTTGTTACTATTACAATATCACAATAATATGATATTAAATTAATAGCATGTTCACAGCTTCAGGAAGTCTGAGCTGAACGCTACTCTAGGTTTTGTGTTCACTTTGGCAACGGTACTTATTCAATGTGAACGGTGACGTTACACACACCAAAAGAAACAATAACAAGAAAAGCTGGGCTGGGGTGGGAGCGGGATGGCAGGAGAGGATCGGGTTGTCTTTGATATGAGGTTATAACTTTAACTGTTTGGTGTCTCCTCCTCCCTCCTGCCCTTTCCATCCTCCATCTCCTGCGATGGGCTGTGCTGTCGGACTCACATGGCGCTGCCCCCCCCCAGTCCCTTCCCAGGCTGTCTCCAGGTCCAGCAGTCACAAAAGGGAACATCCCCCCATCTCCTTGGGAGCAGGGATCGGTCTGATGGCCCATCTAGCCTCTTTGGTGGGGTGGGGAGAGGCTGTTTGGGGGCTTAACGCCAAAGTTTAACCCTTCATATCTTTTTTGTTCTGCCTGATGTCAACAGGAATTATAATGGGAGGGGGCTAGGAACACCAAGCCTCAAGAGCTCCTTGCTCTCGAGGTTGGTGCCATTCAATCTGCTAGGGCCAAGGTGGATGATGTGGAAGGGCAGAGTCCTGCTCCCAGCTAACCTGACCCAGCACAGGGAAGAGGCGTTTGCTCATCCTCCTGTGTGTGATATTATTTGCACAGCCATGGGCAGCATCCCACTGCCAGCTGGGCAAGTGATGGGGATGTTTCTCACACAAGGGACTCTCCCACTGGTACCATTTAAAAAAATACAGTTAATACCTTTTTTTAAACTTAAAACTTATTTCCTTTCCTGATTCCTTTCACTGTCCTTGCAGATACGGCAACATTTGATTTACCACCACTTACACAGAGAGTTCAAACCTTCACATTCGCCTGGATTGAACCAACCCACGTGGCAGGGAACAGGCACCATCCCTGCCCCCATCTCACCCCACGGATGATGCCGGTCACACACCGACTCACGAGGCTGCACCATGCCAGGACAACCCAAACCCCACAGTGGCAGTTTGGTGGTTGATCCCTGGAGGGGACAAACCCTCTCTTTGGTGTCAGGAGCTCCTCTGCCCACCCTGGGCATCGGGAAGGGGCAGCTGCTGGTAGCCCCCAGCATCCTCCTCGCCTTGTCCTTCCCAGGGAACTGAGCCCTTTTTGGCTCCACTCATCCTTTGGATGTTCTCCTGTGGCTGGAAATGCGCTGGAAGAGCTGGGAGCAGCTCAGTAGCCTCTCAGGGGGTTCTGGAAGTACTGTCTCAGGGTTTGTTTGCCCGTGGGCGCTCCTACGGCAGGGTGGGCTTTGTCAACTAGACGTTGACATCCAGGTTGCCACCCCCCAGGGGTGTGTTATGGTGCTTATGCTGGCACGTGCCATAAATCATCCTGCTGGGAATCAGCACAGTGACAGGGCAGGAAGGTGCCCTGGCTCCAGTGCTGGCAGCTGAGCACCCCATCTCTGTACACCCAAGATGGACTGAGGCAGCCACCAGCAGCACCCAAATCAGCCCTGGGAGGGCAGCAGTGCCAGGGAAAACCAGAGAGCACCACACTGCTTGTCTGTGACAGCCCCAACAATCTTTAAAGTAAAAAAACCACAACAGGAATCTCCAAAATCACACCGGAGCCCCTAAAAGTAAAGCTCATAACACTAGTGAAGCATCGCGCTTCGTGAGGGGCAGGGTGGGAGAGGCAGGAACTGGGGGAGAGGAGAGGACACACACACACAGACACACACACACAGACACACAGACACTCACACTCTCACACTCACTCTCACACTCACACACGAGCTTCTCTCATGCTTGAGGTAGAACATTGCTTTCAAAGGTTTGGAAGTGCTTTACATGGGAACGACGACGACGAAGCCGCCGGGGCGGCAGGTACAGAGCGTGACTGCTGAGGTAGGACCATGCTTGTACTGACCAAGTGCTATGCTACTTGCTTTTTGAACACGAAGGAAGACGCAGGCATTTCTGCTTCCCAGAAGACATTCATTCCGGTTGAGGTAGGTTCTGAGTTCACTCGGGTTGTCTGTCCAAGTCTTTCAGTAGCCCTCAGGCATCCTTTGACACACACACTCTTTTTTTTTTATTTTTCTGCCTTTTTTTTTTTTCATATTATTTAGAGTCAATCAGCAAAAAAAGTATCCTGAGAAATAGCAAAAGTGTACAAAGTCATCAAATCCACGGAGAGACAGCCTTCCTGGGCCTCGATTTTTGGAGTCAAGTTAGAAGGATTTCTCCAAATCCAGTCTTCTGGAAATAAAAAATAGATCCAAAAAGTAGTCCTAAAGCTGCTGATCAGGAAAAAGTCTGGGACGCCAGGACATGCTCCACCATATTCCCAGTCTGTCAGAGACGGGAGAGTTTGTCAAACTCTGCCAAGGAGTCTGTTACTTAGCAGCTGAGGGGAAAATTCATCGTGACCAGTCTCCGCGAAGCCGCCATCGGAAGAAACACACCGAGAGGCTCGAAGGAGAGGTCAGACAGATAAAACTTCACAGAGTTTCCAAAAGGCTGTATACATATATATATATTTATATATATATATAAAAATAAAGCAAAACAAAAAAATAACAATCAGACCGTAGAAATCTTCAATTGACCTGAGATTGACAACTCGTAAAGACATCACCAGCCGCGGGTTTGGTTTCTGGTAACTCCCACAAGAGGCTTTGAGTCTTGGCAGTTTTATCCTTCATTGGCGGGACCGTGGTCGGGAGCTGGAGCAGAGGGGATGCTGCCACGGGAGGGTTTTGGGAGGGGGTCTAGCTGCTCCTCGATGATGCTGAACTCGTCCAGAGGGAGTGTGGAGATCTGGGTGTCGTCGTGGGGGGCCGGCGGGCTGTGAGCCGACTGAGGAGAGAGAAGGGGACAGTGCAGTGACAACGTCTGATGCGCTCAGCCATGCAGCCAGGTGAGCTCCCATCCCGCTGGACTTACCGTCATTCCCTTATCCTGCTGCTCCTGGGATGGGGATGCTGGGAATAACCTCTCCAGCTCGTTCATATCCAGCTGCTTTCCATTCAAGTCCCGGTCGTCCCTGTCCCTGCGAGCAGCCCCGTTCAGGACAAGGCTCGCAGCGCTCCGCTGGCTCCTGGGGATCTGTGGGGTTGAGAGCTGCTCCTGCACGTTTTTGCACATCAGCAGCCTGAAAAATAAAGAGATGGAGCCTGAGGGTGAGAAAGATGGTTCCTCCTCCATTCCCTCCCCCAAGCCTGAGTCTGCCTTATCCCTATGCTACGTTCCTTCATCCTTCAATCCATCCTATAAAGTTCAGCATTGCATTGAGGGTGCGACACCCACACGGCATTAGGGACCATCACCCCTTGTGAGCAGTGACATGAGCATCCCTACCTTCCTCGGTACCCGAACATGAGGAAGAGGATGCAGAATATGATGCAGGTGACGCCGATGTGGATCCCGATGATGATGCCGGTCGTGGAGGTTTTATTGTTCTGCTCGTCCTTCATGCAGTCACAGGGGGGATTCAATACTGCCAGAAAAAAGGGGGATTGGGGAGTCAGTGGTGCTTCTCTCCTATTGTTCCTCCAGCTTTTGGGGAGCCCAGAGCCAAAGTTGGAGCCTGGGCTGTGTGTATGAGAAGAGGAGATAAAGACGCAGAGCTGGCAGGGGGGTCACTGCCTGCTAAAGGAGCTTCCCTGCTCCTGGCACTCCAAGAAGGCACTCAGAGCAAGCACGGGACTGGAATTCCATAGCGAGCCAGCCCCATTACCTGGCTGCTGTCATTAGACACAATTAATGAACAGAAAAGACTCTGATGTTAATTTTTGCCATCCCCTGTGCCCAAGGTGGGAGGTGAGAGGTGGTGACCATGCCAGAGCATGATGGAAAGCACTGAGCAGGCAGATGCCAGTGAGATTAGTATTTACTCCAATACAGACAGAGGAGTTATAACTATCTCTTGAAGATATTCCCACTGGAAGGCTTAAAAGGCTTCCAAGAGCAGCAGGATGTTTTTTACACATAGATGAATATGAAAGGTGTGATCAGTTAAGAGATTCCCTCTAGAGGTTTCCCCTCTGCTGCCACATAAAGCAGCATTTGTGCTCTGCAGCCATTCCCCATTCCAAAGCCACGTGCCCTCCCTTTTGACTAGTGAAGGTCAAAACATCCAGGAGAGCTCCAGGAGAGTGGAGATGCTCAGTGCATCACATCTCACCTGAGGATGGCAGCTCTTAGCCTATGCATGGGGGCTTGTTCATGTTCATGGCTTTGCCTCTAGCTCAAGTTTATGGGACAAAACTGGCAATTACAGGAACATTGGGTTAGTTTTATCCCCAAAAGTCATCAGGTTGGACTGGCCAATGGGGATGGTACAAGCCACATGACCAGGAAGCCACCCCAGGGCCAGCACCAGGTGGTCCCAGCCCTGCAGGGTTTTGCTTCAGCACTACTTGTGATGCTGAAAATAAACGAGTGGCTAAAGGTGAGAGCCACAGGGGTCTGGGGGATGTGTCTGGTCTCACCACCTTCCTGCAGAGCAGTTTCCCAAACCACCACCAAGACCCACATCCTGCCTCACCTGTCCTCTCCACAGTTTCCCTCAGGGACACGAAGCGGACAGTGGAGTCTCCATCCCCGTGCTGGTTGTAGGCGAGGAGCTTGACCTCGTACACCACCGACGCGTCTGCCGGGGGAGACACAAGGACAGTCCAGGTGTCACCACGAGTGAGGCTTGTCTGGGAAATGAACATCTTACCAAGTACACACAAGATGCTGCAAAGAGCTACCTGTTCATGGGAAAGCATTCCAAAACCTGCATTTCTCATTTAGTGGTTGGGCAACACATGCCAGCTCTCTCCTGCTATTTAGGACAGACCCTCCCGGGGCGGGGAGGGAACACGGAGCAGGGTGTCACCATACTCACCCAGGTGGGTAATGTTGTAGGCTGTGACGTTGCTGGCCAGTAGCACTGGGCCTGTGTACTGGGCCAGGTGGACCTTGCGGTAGTACAGCTTGAAGCCTTGGTGCTGGCCCAGTTTGATGGAGGGTTCCCACGTCGCCTGCACGGCGGTGCTGTTAATGACTTTAATAAAGAGGGATGGCATGGCTGGGACTGAAACAGAGAGAGAAAGACAGTGGGTTGCATGTGCTTTTCAGTCTGCATAATGAGAAATTCCCCAGCAGCCTTTCCCTGCAGTCACTGCACTAAAGAATGTGCCAGCTGAGACTGAGAAAAATCAGAGCACACCAGAATCTGGTTTAACAGCTTTGAACTTCTTCAGGGAGCTGAAGGAGTTTCCAAGGGTTTCCTCTGCTCAGACCAGCAAGCAGAAGCTACTTTTACACTTCAGTTGCAATCTGATGCTCGGCCCAGTCGGGTCAAGGCAGGAATGCAGCAACTTTGGCAAGGCGTTCTCAAATTCCACTTTTTTGCCCTCACCCTGAGGCAAGAACCTTTCACAGTGATTAATCCCCCAGGGAGGAAGGAACCAGAAGGGATGGAGCTGGAGACATCCATCTTATAAGCGTGCCAGGTACCTGCACTGGCTTGCAGGGTGCAGGGGGCTTGCTCTCCCCATCGGCTTTAGGACAGAGGTTTGTGATTCTGTGCTGGGGATTCAAGAGAGAACAGGGTCATCTTCATCAACAGCCCTAAACACCTGAGCAGCCTGAGATCCCTGCGCAGCTGGGGATGGCTTGTTTTGGGAGGCAGGCACTTACCTGGCCTTAGGGGTGCATGGGGGGTTAGCTGGGAAGATGTCCCTGCTGCTGCACCTGATTCAAAGTCCACCAGGACACCTTTTGCTCTGCGCAATACACCAAAACCCTGCCCTGGTTCTTGGGGTGTGCTGTAGAGGGGGACAGGTCATTCCTTCCCCAGGTCCCCAAGAAGCTGCCCAGCCCCACCCCATCAGCCTGGGCCGAGAGGCAAAGGTTTGCAAACCAAAGCCAGTTTCCTTAGGATGCAGATATATCTGGGTTTTCCAAAGCTGGTTCTGCACCAAGCCCTGCCCCAAGCCTTCTGCATCACTAGGGCACAGACCCACGCTTCCCCCACCCTCCATTTCTCCTATACTGATCACACCAACACCAAGATGTGTCTCAGCAGGGTATTTTGGACATTTCACCAATGATTTTTTTTACCCTCATTTCCACAAAACATCCTCAGGCCAAACGCTCCCATCACCTCCCCAGCCTTTGGCACCATCCAGAAGGTGCAAAGCACCAGGTGCTGCAGGCTCTGCCCCGCCCAGGGCTCTGCTCCAACACCAGGAAGGAAAAGGGTTTTTGTGCACCAGGCAGTGAGCCTGGCTACATCCCACAGCAGAACTATCCAGCAGAACAGCCTGCTTCTCCAGCAGCCTCCAGGCTTTGAGGCAGAGCTATTTTTCCAATTCCACATGATTACAAACTCAGCAGTTCCCAACTGTAAGGACTGCTGGGATTGCACTGGACTGAAGCTGCTTTCTGGCTTGATTTTCCCCAAATGGTCTCTAAGGACAAGCAAACCCAGCCCTTGGCAGAGAGTTCAGCACGACCATTAGTGAGCGATGGTGAAGAGCAGATGGAACGTGGCCGTGTCAATCTGAGACTGATGAGAGCTAAAAAGGGCATTTCCTCAATTTACTGGTAAAAGTAAAACTGCACAGCACAACCATTTGCCTTTTCCCAGGCACTGAGAGCTCAAGTTTTTTCCACGAGGAGATTTAAAGGAAGGACATCTCTCCAGGTGAGCAGGAGGATCTGCACAACCCTCTCTCTTCTCAAAGTGATGCCCCACTTCAGGCTACAGGGGCTTTGCCTGATGCCCTCCAAATAAGCACACGGAGATAAAAAAGTCCCTGCTGACTGCTGAGCATCTCCACGTGGATTCTGGAGGAAAGACCCAGTATCCTGGGTCAGGTTAATGAGATCCCATCCTGCCTGAGAGCTGCCAATGGAAAAAAAAATGGGCTGAAGTACTTCTTCTTGCTAGGATTTATTCTGATGTCCATTTCATTGCTGGGAAGGCTGAACTTAGCAATTCCTGGGTGCAAAACACAGAGTAAATTCTATTTATACCAGAACGTACCATTCCTCCCGAGGCTGAGAATTTTTGCAATCCAATTAAATGCTCCTTTTTTCTCATTCTCCCAATTCCCTCTAGGGCAAAATCCCCGCTCTGAGAAGTTAGACTCTTGCTTAAAGCATCATTTTCCAAACCACGGGTGAAAACACCACAGAAAGGGAAATTATCATATTATCCCATGGACAAAGAAACACTGATGTGGGCCATCCTGATTTGCGAAGAGTTGGCTTTATTTTACGGTTGCAGAGCCTTACATTTAATAAAAACCACAAGAATATCTCTCCTTCAAAGTATGAAATATATCGTATTTATTCAAACTTTGAGTATATATATATATGTATAATACTGATTATAGGTAGATGCACTTGCAGAATGCACGTGCTGTTTATAATGTGATTACACAAATAAGTGTATACAATGGAGTATATCTGTGTGTGTGTAAATATAGGTACACACACCAGCAGATAGGTGCTTCACAGAAGTATATATAAGACATAATATGGAGCTACTATAAGTGAGGCATCTCCCTCATGCTAAGGGCTGGGATACTTGTTTTCCTCTTCCGTGCTGTTTGGAATTTTCCCCAGGTCATTTCAACTTTCTTCTTGAAGGCGTCTTTAGCCGAAGATGACTAAAGGAACAGTCTTCATCCTAGAGAAATGTCAAAAAGTCCTGGAGAAAACCCTAAAAAGCATTAAAAGACAAGAACAAGGAGTGTGTGCTGCTTAATGAAGCGGAGAGCGTTTGAGGTTTAAAATACCACAGCATTTGTGAAACGGCGTAAAGGAGAACGACAGGGAGGAGGCAGGAGGACCTTCCCAGTGAGTGAGGTTTCTGGAGGACAAGGTTCACTTGGGTTGTTTCTCTACAGTGTCATCCCTTCTACTTTCCATCCAGAATTAGCACTGGCACACAGGAAGGAGCATCTAGAAAGCATTGGAGGCTTCAGCCAAGCGTGCTCTCAGCGTATTGCTACCCCTGAAAAGCTGATGGCCCCAAGCCAAAAGCAGCCCTGCTCCTCAGTATTTCTCAGGAAGATTTCATATTCCTACTCCAGACAATACCAGTTGAACACAGTCACTCAAACCAGTCTCCAGTTGGCAGCATCCCTGCTGGCCACTCCAACAAGTGCTATCCGGGCTCCACTGAGCCACCCCTGGCTGCCAGATCCACCCATCCCTGGCTGCCAGTACAGCATGTCTTGGAAAACCCATCCCTTTCTGAGGCTGTCAGCACAGATCCAGGGGCTCCTCAAGCCCAGCAGGGTCACAGCTCTCCTGTGCACCTTGGGACAGCACAGGGTGAAACATCTTGCCTGTGAGAAGAGGCAAATCTGCAGCGAAACCTTAACCTGGTGACAAAAGCCACCAGATCCTGGCTCTCTGACTGACTCTCTCCTCTGTGACCAGAAGGCAACAGGCACCCAAGTGAAGAAATGTGAGCAAATGAAGCCAACTGGGGCATTTAAATCTCTTTTTACCTTCCTACAAGTCAAACACAGGCTGGGGTTGAGTGATCTGAACCAAGCCAGCTTGTCCCTCCTGATCAGAGAGCTAATTGCTGAAGCTTCATTACACAGGACAAGCCCTTTTTAAAGGATAGCAAAGCAGGACAGTCATGCCTTGAAAGTTCAGAGAGCCAGGAAATTTATGATCCCATTACCAGATCCCTAACTATTTCTCTTGTGATTGAAGGTAATCATGACAAAAAGTTCTTTCTCCCTTGACCCAGACTTCTGCAGAGCCACCAAGTTCTATGGAGCATGGCTGGCTTGTAGCTCCTGTGACTGAACTCAGAGCCCCGGGTCAAGGAGTTTCAAGCTTTGCCTTAGTCCATCCTTCTGCCTTTAAATTGGAAGGAAAAACAAACTCCAAGGGTGACTGATTCCCTGCAGAGTACCAAGGAAAATAAACTTGCAGGGCAACAACCCAGCAGGGCGAGGATTTATTGGTGGTGCTGCTTAAATTCTGTAATAAATATCTGCAAGGGTTCAGAGCAGAATGAGAACTGGATCCCCCACCTGGAAGTCAACACACTCTTTCATTTGATCCTAAATAACATCCTCACACCCAAGGCCCTCTGCACTGCAAAGTCATAATTCCTGAGCACTCATGAGAATGATGTTCTTAAGAAATTAGTCTCCATATGTGAGACAAGCCAGGATTCAGAGGGGCTGGAGAGGCAGATGAGTCTCTAGGAAAACGTTCCTAAAATGCCAGCTGACAGATCACACTGGGGCTGTGGTTTCTGTGTGCAAGAGTCCTGCATTAGAGCACCCACTTTCTTATTGGGGAAGCTAACTGGTGGCCAAGTCAGCCGAAAAGCCTTGGAGGTCACCCTAATGTCCCACTGAAACAGAAGGCTGTTACAAGGCAGGTGTTTGTAGGTCAGGACAGCTCAGCTCTAGTGTGAATTGTTCAGAGTAGAGTGAAAAATAATCAAACCTTAAAAAGTGTATCGCCTATCAAGTAAGAGCTGTGAGTACCAGAACTGCTGGAAGATGCTGCTTGAGCAGGAAATCTGCATTTAGCAAGGAGTTTAGGAACAGCCCAGAGCAGCTGCAATGCAGAGACCAGGCAGGTTTGCACTCACCCCCTGCTACAACATCAGCTGTGAGAGGCGATGCTGCGCTTTAATCAGTCAACCCCCCTGTAACGATACAAGTGAGTTTTACACAGTATCCCAGAGAGTGAGGAAGAGCGGAAACAAGGAGCTTCACCACCCCAGGCTGTGTGCCAAAGCGCTCCGGGTGGTGTCGGGGTGCCCGGCGCGGTGGTTACGCACAGCGGGTGTCAGCATCTGATGGTCCAAGCGCAAAGCGTTCCTTACCTTCCCCCAGCGTGCTCACCACCGTGACTTCTGAGGCTTTGCTGGCACCCCGGGAGGTGTAAGCCTTTATATAAAAGCTGTAGCTGGTCGAGGGCTCCAAATCAGTCACCAGCTGCTGGAAGGTGCTCTTGCTAACAGCCTCCTGGTACTCCATCTCGACGGGATCTGAAAGGCAAAGGGACAGAGAACAGAGCGGCATCAGGCTTTGCCAGAGGTGAAGAGACTGAACAGATCTTGCAAGTGGTAATTGTGGTCCCTGGGGGGACAGGCACCTGCCCACACACTTTTCTGCTTACATTTCAAGTCCGGGTTGGATGGGGCTTGGATCAACCTGGCCTAGTGGAAGGTGTCCCTGCCCATGGCAGGGCATTGGAACTGGATGATCTTTAAGGTCCCTTCCAAACCATTCTATGATTCCCTGATTCAATGATTTCTGTATGCTTTGCCAGAGACCTACATAGGCAGCAAGATTTGACTACATGGCTTACCCTCTCCATGTTTTTGGTATTTACAGAAGCACTACAGCCTCATCTCCATCCTTCAGAAACAGGGAGGTGATGGAGGACACGGATAGCAGCACAGACTCCCTGGTTTTACCTAGTGGGTAAATCAAGGGAAGGCTGGGGACGCTCCAGGCAGCGGCTGCAGCCCCGTACCTGCAGCTTTCCGAATGTGCAGCACGTAGCCGATGATCTCCTTGGTGTTCTGCAGGGGCTTCTCCCAGGACACCTGGATGGTGGTGGCAGAGACGGTCTCGGCCCTGACGGCCTGTGGGGGGCTGGGCAGCCCGTCGGCCCAGAGCACGGTGAGGCGGGCGCTGGCCTGCGTGGAGCCCGCGCTGTTCTCCGCCAGGCACTGGTAGATGGCCTCGTCCGTCTGGTTGATCCCGTAGATGGACAGAGTGCTGTGGGGGGACACGAGAGGGACAAGCATCTCACTGACTGCTCTGCAGCACATCCCTGCAGCCACGCCATGGCCTCCACGCTGGTTCCAATGGCAGGGCACCCCCCAGCCTCTGCTTCCACAGAAAGCTCCCAGGAAGCTGTGGGCTGGTTATTTTGGGGAAGGAAAAGCCCAGGAGGTGGATGTGTCATTCCCTGGAACCCATGACTGGGCAGATTTTCTCAACCTGCAGATACTGTGGTTCAAGTACAGTCAGATGTGGATACCCACAGGGTGGGATGGGAACAGCAGGATCTGAAGCCCTGGATTCAGGAGGATCCCAGCCACACCACAGAGATGACTCTCTGGCAAGTGACCCTGAGATTAGCTCAGTTGGTTACAGCCTGCTGCTAATAATGCCAAGGTTGTGGGTTCAATCCCTGTATGGGCCATTCACTTCAGAGTTGGACTTGAAGATCCTCGTGGGTCCCTTCCAACTCAGAACATTCTGAGATTCTGGGAAGTGCATCCACACACCCAAATCAGCTTTAACTGGCTTAGTTCCAGTACACACCAGTGAGACCCATCCAGGCACTGCACATGGTTCCTAAGCCAAGTTTAATCAAATGCAGCCAGAAAGCCCTCTGGTGATGCTCTAATTGCATTATAGCACATTAGAGCTGTCTTAGGGTAACACTGGGATTAGCTGACTTATCCAACAGGGTTACAGACTCAGCTCTGGCTTCTGCACTTCCAGAAACACTATCACCACGAGCCAAAACCCAAAGCTTACCAGAAAATCACAGGTTTTGTCTGCAAGGCCTCTGAGCGTGTTTTTGATGCTGGTGCATCAAAGCTTGCTCTCTCCCAGTGAAACAACCAGAACAGTTCTGCCAGCCTGCTTTTGGGTGCCTCCACATCAGGCTTAGATGCTGTTTTCACTGTCCAAGGTAAAGACAGGCACTGGCTACACTGGTGGAAAACATTCCTAAAGGAAGGGGGAAAACCAGCCGTTTACCAGCCTCCCAAACAAGTGCGTTCCTGAGCACGGTGCCCACCTCTGCACCACCTCCAGCGGAGCTGTTTAGTGGCTTGATGGGCACAGGGACAACCAGAGTCCTTGTACACGTGGCCGCATGAGCTGGAGGCCCTTCCTGCACTGTGTGACTCTCTAGCAATGGCTGTGGAAAACCAGAGCAAGTTCACGACCAGCTCAGGGGTTGCACCACCAGCAAACACTGACTCAGAAAGAGTTGTGTGACAGATTAGCTCTGTCTTGTCACTGAATGTGCAAAGCAGCTTTTCTTAATAACATCTGTTCACAAACAGGGATCTATCAGTGAAAGCTCTGCTCAGAACTAAGCCAGGAACAACGTGATCCAGTCCTGGAGGTCTCTTCCAACCTTAATGATTCTATGAGTCTGAGACCTGCAACTATCTATCTATCAGACACGAGGCCACTTAAATAAATAAATAAATACCCAGTGTCTCTCCCTTCCAAGACATGGGGTGGGGAGTGTCACACCGTCTCCAGCTCCGAGCTGGAACCGGAAAGGCAGCCTTTGACATTGAAGATGTTTTTACCCAACCCCGAGGCAGCAGCTCAGGTTGTGATAAAATATGCTTACAATGCCCTTAAGTCACCCATATGTGCCCCACTCTGGATTAATCCCTGTTTCTGCATCCGTATTTCCAGTCCTGTCCAATTCCTTTGCACTGTGGTCTACTTCTGGCTCCACATGAATGCTTCGGAGACCACAAGGCCTCCAAGCTCCAGCATTATCTTCTTGCCTTAGGCCAAAGCTCACATGAGCTTTTTGCTGTTTTTCTGTAAGAAATGACCCAAAACTAACCAAATCCACACCCGCTGCTTGCTTCTAGGGAGAAATAAATTACTTTCTTCTCCTGCAGTGAATTCCAGGTGGACGTGGGACTTGACTGCACAGAAGTAAATCCCAAGCATTCCTGCTGATGCAAGGAGCACTTCATGGCTTTTTGGGAATCATAATCAAAGTCGCCTTTTATGTAAATGAAAAATTGAACATTGGAAGTGGAGATGATAAATAACCTGCCACTGCCTGCCTGTACGTCAGAACAAATGCTTCTTCTAATTGCAGCAAAATATTGGCCTTCCTGTATTAAAATTTATTATTGCTGTTGATTTAATATTCCTATTTCTGCCTTGCAAATTATCGAGGGCCATGGTGAGTGAGCAAATGTTTAACAGTCATCTATTTATGTCCTGTGCCTTTGTTTCCTTGGAAACATTGTAAATGGAATATCAAATGTGATGGTTTCAGCTGATATGGTGATTTTCGAGAATCAGCCCTAAGCTCCTCTCATAGCCACGGGCTCAACGTATCTGATTAAATGGAAGGAGAAAGGCAGAGCTGGGAGGGGGTGCAGGGAGGAAGGACCCGATGTGTGGCTCAGCTGTGTCAACAAGGGCTGACTCCTTCAAGGACAGATGGCAGAAGGCAGGATTACACCATCCCAGAGCTGCACTCCCAGCCCTGCACAAAGCAGATGTGTGGAAGGAGCAGCAGCACTTCCCTCTGCCCCATCAGTGCAGGGATTATTTCCATGTGGCTGCTGCGCATCTGGGCACCCAGGAGTGGCCAGGCCGGGCTGGCACACGAGTCAAGAGCAGCCCTCAGCTTCCCAGGCACAAAGCAGCCCTGGAATAAAGAGTATTTAGGCTCTGCTGCCTCCAAGTGTATTTATTTCTTTTACGTGGGGAGAAGAAAAGACGCAGAGGAGGGAAGAGGCTGGAAAGCAGTGCAAGGAACCTGATGAGAATGGTGTGATTCTGAGGCCAAAGATTTCTCTCTCCTGGGAGGATTGGGGAGTGAGCAAAGCTCTTCACACATGACACAGCTGATGTGCAGGATGCCAGTGGTCCTGGGAAGGACAGCACTTGGCCACTGGGACCCAGAGCTGAGCAGAGCCTCTGTCATGCACAGTCGAGTCAGAAGGAATAAATAAAACATTCTATGCAAAGCTGACATGGCAGGTAGCTGGAAACTTGCTTCAGGCTTCAAAAAGGTCATTTTTATTGAGATTTACTCAGCTGTGTTTGGATGAGCTGTGAAATGAGAGTCTTGGCCACCTGGAGCCCACATTACCTGGAATGATGTGCAGGCAAGGGGGCAGTAACACAGCTGGATTCTTGGCTATGCGAGTGTGGAGAAGTTGGTGAGCAGAATGCCCAGCATCTAAACATCATCTTTGTAAGAAAAAGGGTTTTTTCTCTCTGTGGGACCCTCTGACACCCACGGGCAGACCTCCAAAGGAGACTTCCTGCAAGCCCAGGCGTGACCTTGGAAACTGGCAGCTGCCCTGAGGAGGGCAGGGGCTGGCAGTGAGTTACATGAACCCCAGCGTCATCCCAGCTGATATCCGTGCATCCATTTCCACCTCAGCTACAGCCAAATTCTCCCTGCCTTCACCCACTGCATCACCTCCCAGGATGTGGAGGATGAGGTGCAGCAGGGCCAGTGCTCAGTACCAGGTTTCGCTGCTTTTTGTCTTTTTCTTTTTTTTTTTTTTTAAGGAAGCTCAAACAAAAGGAAAATATGTAGTTGCCGCGTGAGGAGGTGCAGAGTGTCTCTGTGAGTCAACCATCTGAAATATGCAGTGTCCTTTTATTTCTTCCCGTCAACGGGAAAAAAGATCTGTCACTCTGGGACATCTGCTGCGGGAAAACTTTCCCGCGAGTGCCAGACTGGCAGCGCCGTGAGCACGTCAGACGAGGCGAGATGCCAGAAGGCTTTCTGCTGGTCACCAGAGCTGCTCGGCGAGCCCAGGGCTCCATCACATCCCCGCACAATGCCCTGACAGGCATTGATGGAAGTGGGGAGAGGAGCCGCTGCAGATTCACACCCGGCTGAGCTGAAACGAGAGGCCTCCGCTGCTCCAAAGCCGTGGTATTCCCAAGCTGTCTTCCCAGCTCATAGGCAATCAGGATGACTGATCTGGCTCGGGTCAGGGGTCCAGGCCGGTGACTGGAGATTGGCTTTCCAAAGGCTCCTCTGAAAAAGTCTGTGAGCTGAAGGAAGCCTCTCCATCGATTCAGCAGCACAAAGAAGAGGGGCCCATCTGGAAGGGCATCGGCCTGCGCGCGCACAGGCACAAAGGAGGGAGTGTGGTGAAATTAATGCAGAGCGCAGGCTGTGGCCAGCAGGGACAGCGGTTTAAGTGCCAGCACCTACAGAAAGCCACCAGTGCCACATTGGGATGCCCCATCCCTGCTCTGTTTGTTATGGACTGTGTTGTGCTGTACTGCACTGGATGACCCATCCCTGGGCTGCCAGCTGGGGGGAAAGGAGCCTTTGCCCTCCGCTGTGCTGGCTCTTGGTAGCTTTGCAGAAATGCCCTGTATTCTGAAGATTCCCTCATACAGGCTGAGAATAAGATGCAAACCTTGAAGAGTGACACTCAGCAGCTCAGAGGGACACTGTATATCACCCCCGGTCCTTTAGAAGCATGTCCTTACACATCCAGAAATTAAATATCACATAGGGCATCCTAGGTGAAATTGGGTCGGGTTATGCAGGAGAAGGAACCCTTTCCAACTGGTTTATATTCAGCAGGTACTGCAGCGCCCTGGCCAGGATCACAGCCCAATTCTGCTGTTACAGACTCACCCAAGCACAGCTTCTGGAGGGATGTTGCTGGTCCCAGCCACTCACTCTGTTTTCATGAGCCAGAGAGTGCAATCTCAGACTTAACTGAAGGGAGGGAACAGAAAAGTCCTCTGCAGGACCATGGGGAAGCACAAAACACCTCAGGATCACACTGATGCCCTACTGCTTAGCGAGGCTTTGGATGCTCGTGCAGAGACTCCTTGCAAAGGCCATTTCCACATGTCTTCCAAAGTCAAACCCATAAATTATTCTTAAATAAGGAGCAGCTGGTTCACATCCCAGTCCTCCACATACTTATTTGTCATGGGAACTGAAATATGATTTGCTATATGGTACCCTTCCCCCAATCACAACAGCTTTCAAACGCACGGCATAAAGAACCTGCAGGCTGCTCTATCCTCCCTTAAGGGGTTCCAAATCCCTACAAATCCAAGAGTTTGTGGGGTGTGTGCACCACAAAGGGATGTACAAACCCATCTGCATCTCTCTGCACCCAGCTAATGTGGGTTTTACAGAAAAAAGCCACTCTGTGAAGGACAGGCTCTGGTTTCCCTGGGTTTGGTACCAAAAAGGTTGTCTGGTCCCAAGTGCTTGGAGGTTTGTGCTTGAAGGCCCCTCTCGATATCACTGCTGAGATTAAGCAGCATGACGAGTTCAAGAAGAGCAAAGTTGTCCTTAAGTTCATTTAAGAAGAAATATTTTCCCTGATGAACCTTGAACATTCACAGCCCTTGAAGTGAGACATTCCCAGAGCACAAAACCAAGTGCAGACCAGTGAGGAGGAATTTAAAAAGGAGACAGTTTACCAGCAAAGGTCACCAAGGAGAGCAAACGCCACCTGAGCCTGGATGCTAACAAAGCCTTTTTCTGGTGGAACAAATGAAGTCCCTTAATTACCATTTTGTAAATAAAATCTTCTTGAAAAATCAATATTTAGAGCCCGCCTCCTCTGAAGATGTTGGCCTTTGTTCCTTGCTATTATGGCAGCATAAACCCTATAGTGTGATATACTTCTGGGCTGAAAATTACCTCCCCAAACCTCATTGGGTCAAAGGTAGAAAAGCAATAAACCTTTCAGAGTGATGATTCAGGGACTATTTCATGCTTCCTTGTAATTTTTGAAGCAATAACATAGAAGCATGATTTTTAAACATGCCCATGGTTAGCTTGGCCAGTAACCACCCCTTCCTCCTGCAGTGATACTCCTGCTTTTGGGATGGCTGGTGATGCCAGGTGGGAATTTTGCTAGAAATGCCCATTACACCTCTCAGGCATTTGGACTGTGATCAACCCAAATCACTCCAGGAGCAATACAGGCATCTCAGATCTCCAGACAGGGATAGACCCTGGACACAGGGATGGCTCCATCAAAGTCCAAAAAGCTCCATCAGCTTCTTCATTTGAGAGCTTGGTTCAGTGCAGCATCAGCCCACAGCTATCAGCTCCATCCCCAATGTGGCAAGGCAGCCCCACTGTCAGCTCCTTCAGTCATTTTTATTCACAGCTTTTAATGGAAAACCCCACAATTCCCCACGCCTGAGCCTTCATGCATTTTTCATTAACAATTATCCGCTATCCCAGAACTGCTTTTGATTTTTTGCTAATCATCGATTGGCTATTTTGTTCCCACACAGCTGGCATTTTCAAAACATAACAACCACCTCTGGAGAGGGCACAGCAGAAGGCTGATCTTTAATGCTAATGTGCCCAGAAACCGTCAACACATCAGGTGATGGGAATTCACATCTGAGGGACCACGAGGGAGGAGGTATTTATCGGACGCAGCCTGTGAGGCTGATTTTACTGTGCTATAAGGCTGGAAATCACTTAGCAAGTGACTCTCTGGTGTTGCATCAGCAGCCACACCCAATTTCCAGTCAACCCTGTCCTGAAGCTGCTGTCCCACCCCAGCAATGATGGGCTTCTGGAGTCCCCTCACCTTGTGGGTTTGCTGTGGTTGGGTTTGGAGCTACTGCACGTGTGGGTGAGGGAGATGCCCAAGGGCCCTTCCCAACTTTGGGAAGCAACAGTCCAAGGGATCCATCAGCTGGGGGTTTGTGCAGTCATGCTGCTACACACAGGAGTAGGCCTAAAGCTGCAGAAGCAAAGCAGCATCTCAAATCCACCATCTTCTGCAGGTCTGGATCTCACTTCTGGTTGTGTTAATTTACAAAAATGAAGTTGCTCCTAAAGACACATTTTGCAATCAATTAGCACATGATATGTTTTGGGATGATTCACTCTTCCTTTTTTTTTCCTAAAGATCCCTTCAGGGGCATTCAGACCTCTATGGCAATATTAAGCAGAGTTTTAATCCAAATGAATTTTCTAGGAAACCATGTAATCTAATTAAAAAGCTCATAGTGCAGTTCAGTAGCTTCATTACTAGTAGATTCGAGATCCATCTTTACACAGACATATATTTTCCAAGTGCAATAGACTGACAAATCCAAGGCATAACCACAAACTGATTCTGCCTGGAACTAAGTGAGTTACAGCACTTTGTCATGCCCATGAGAGTGAAACAAAGGACAACTTGAAAAAGCTCAACCCCCCCCCCACCATCCGTTGATGTGTCTCCTTCAATTCATGGAGCTCCCAGACCTGCTGCACCAGCGAGGGCATTTTCCAGACTGACAGCTTTGGAAACACCAGGCATGGCCACTTGCCTGAGGCTGGGGGTTGGAGTAGACCAAGACTAGTGCGAAAGAAGACAAAAGTTCAACACTGTTGAGTACAGTGGCCTTAGGGCTCAGCTTTACAATCGTGTTACTATGGCTTGAGAAGATGCCACGTGTCAGCTGAGCCCCAGGAACGGGCTGAGCTCCCTCAGCCTGTGCCAGATGCTGTAATCTGATCATTTAGATCGCTGTGGAAAAGACTGATGCTAAACTGCATTAAATGATTCCCATAAGAAATCGGTTCCAGTGACGTTCACCAAGTCGCAGCTCACACGCACATGTAGAGCAGCTCCAGGCACAGGGACCTGGCCAGAAGACAGAACCATGACCAAAGATCCGACTTCTACTTCCCTCCAACAGTGAAAAGGAATGATTTCACAAGCAAGGCATCTGGGTACGACGCAGAGCTGGATTCAGTGTCAGTTTTGTCATGGATTTAATGACCGCTCGGGAATCTTTGGTCACTTCTGACTCTGCTTCCTCATCAATAAAAGGGGATGCACTAATTTCCCTTCTCCCATCTCCGCTCTGTACGTATCACAAGGGCAGACATGCCTCAGAAACCCATGTAATGAACTAGAAGATCACAAGCCTGCTGTGAGTGGCATCTGTATGTGCACACACAAAGCTCCCTGAAGCTCTAAAAACTCCCAGCTCAGAGAAAACCTCCACTGACAGAGATTTTATCATAACTCACACCTTATCCTTCTTCCATCCTTCACATAACAAAGCTTTAAAAACCCCTCAAACCTGAAAACAAAAAGCTGTATTATATAGAAACTTAGAAAAATAAACTCACTCTTCTCCCCGGAGGAACAAGTCATGGTGCCTGCACAGCACTTCCCAACTGTCTAAACTGACCTCCAGCGAGGTTGGGTAGCTGCTTTCATGAGACACATTTGTTAATATAGAGAGCAGCTATATGACACCACAGAGTACAAATCTCTACCAATAATTCAGGTTTACAACACAGGTGCTATTATTTTGTAGTATATTGTTCCATGCTATTTCCATAGAAACTACATCATCGACTTGTAATTTTCCCACTAAGTGCATCCCACTGTATCATTTCCTCAGTACAAACATCCTCATCCCCTCACAGGAAAATGCAGTTATTTAGTACTCAGAGAAAACACTCTTCCCTGGTGAGATAAAAGGCTGAAGTTTAGTGAAAGTCAGGTTCCGTGCAAATATTATTTCTAATGTATTTGCATTTGCACACCCAGGCAGGTCAATGTTCAGGGGTTAAACACAGTTTCTCCAGTGCAGAGTGAGTGTGGTTCCTGCCAGCTCCACGGACAACATTTAGTCCTTCCAGAAATACCCAGATGATGACCAGGACAAAAGAATAACTTTTACTAGGTTCATGTATCAACAGTCAAAATCTAATGCTGATGTCCTGGCACAAAAAAACCACAGAGCACTGAAATATAAGCCTACAAGATGCGGGTAGCAGGAGCAGTGCTTTACTGTATCAAAGCCCAAATTGAAGCCACAGATCTCCTTCTGAACTTTCCACCTTCAGATCATCTCTTTGCTATGCAGAAAGCAATCCAGCATCCCTTTGCACTGCAGTGCCAGCAGGACTTACCTGTTGTTATTCTTCAGCTTGATGTGGTCGCTGGTCTCCAGGATCTGCCCGTTCCTCAGCCAAGTGATCTGGGGAGGGGGTTCCCCCTGGGCCACACACGTGAAGATGGCAGTGGTCCCCACTGGCCTGGAAATGGACTGAGGATGCTGCACAAACTCTGCAGGGGCTGTGAGGAGGAAGGAGAAGGAGGGTGAGAAAAGTCATGATGATCCCTCTTTATCCTGCTACAAAGAGCAACCTTGCAAGTAAGCCTTGTCTGACTGGGAACATGGGATACTTGGCCAAGCCACAGCATAGGCAGCAGATAACTGGTTTGGATGGTGTGTCTGTGATCAGTGCTATTTGGTTGCCCATCCTGGCAGTCACAGCTTCATAGAAGGCATCTGAAGGCCAGCTCAGAACTGATGGAGAGCTGAGGTGAGTCCTGCAGGGTTCAGACAAAGAGCAGCAAGGTTTAAACCCCCTTACCTCTCCCCAGTCTTCCACTGAAAGCAACCCCAATGATGAAATTGGGAAGATGTGCTGTTTCATCAATGGCAGAGTGAGATCAACACCCCAACTTTGCCCAAAGGACCCGTATAGCATCAGCAAACTGCTCCAAATGGAAAGAAATGTATGGATGTGGTACAGCAACCTGTCAGGGAGTTCTCTCCCCAGTAAATATCAGATTTTCTGCAAATCTCCTGGCACCAAGAGATTGGGGAACCTTTTTTACCCCAGATCTGCAGCCTGGGACCGCTGGAGTCCTGCCAAGCCTGGCAAGAGACTCCGCCATGCCTGTAGCTGCTGCTCACCTTGTCACCAAATGTTTTCACCTTTGAAAATAACATTCTTAAACAGAAAGTGATTTCCCCCTTCCAGCAGCTCAAATTAGATTTAAAATCATTTATCAGAATAAACCAGCATATCAGCCTACAGAAAACAGGGCCTGACAGACACAGCCAATGAGGTGAGATTATTCAAGCAGTTCTGCTTCAAAGGGCAAAGTGATAAATATACTCCATGTTGCTACTGAAACCCAAAATCAGGTGGAACCAGCAGCAGCCACAATGAAGACAGATACGAGGCACAGGCCCATAATAAATTCACTGACTAACATCACATAACCGATGGTTGGTGTTAAATTTTTTTGACAAAAGCAAGATTATCCAGGGAGACCCACTCAGTGCCACTCATCGGCATTTTCCAAGCATGAGGCTGGGGGGCTCTGCCACCAGCAGAGATGTGGGGATGGGAGAAGGGAGCAAACTGGTCCAGCAAACGTGTTGAGGAGTGGCCAGGTTGCAGGCAGGATGCAAGAGCTGAGCCTTGTGGTTCGTGGCCAAAACAGCCCTCAGGGTTTGCTGTAGCAGTTCAGGGGGATAAAGCTCTTCCCCAGCTGCGTGCAGGCAAGAGAAGAGCGCTGCTGCTGCTGCAACATGGCCCAACTGCAGCAAAAGGGGTTTGTGTGTGTGAGTGAAGTCATGCATGTTGGAAGTCCTGCAAGCAGGAAGACACAGAAATTCATCACAGAGCCCGTCCCCCTCAAAGGAACCCCCCCCTTCATTTTTAATAATCATAGGGAAGTGGAGCATGGCACTTACGTTGGTGTCTGCCAACAGAGTTTATTGTCAGGCCACTGCAGCTGGCACTCTGGTCTACTAATGGACCTTATCTCAGCAATCAAATGGACACATATTTCCAGAACCTCCCACTAAACTTCCCAGGTGCCAATCAACCTCTTGTCCTTTTACTTCCCTCCTGTGTTTTAACTCCTCTAGACCTATAGTTTAAAATAAAATTCAGGACACAGGTTCAATAAAAGTTGAGAGCAAGGATAAACAGGGGGAAAATCCCTCTTCCCTGCAGTGAATGGTCCCTTTGTGGCATGCAGCGAGAACATTAGAGACTTGATTTCCCTCATCCTCCCACCCCCTGCTTTGTGCTGGCATGGTTTTGTGGGAGCAATTATTTTGCAAGTGGCTGTGCACCTCCCTGCTTTCATCTGGGCTCACGAGCTGCACCCGCAGCCCTCGCAGGTGCAAACCCACGATGCCAAGGAAGGGCACAGCCACCTTCCAGTTCCTCGATGCAGATTCATTAAAGGTCCCACTTGGCTCTCTGCCTCCGCCTCCCCCTCGCTCCATCAAATCTCAAACCCACCGTTTGTTCCAGCAGAAATAAAGTTTAAATATGGAAAGAAGCATCCGGCATAACCCTCCTGGAAGCGCCGGCTCTCCTTATCCTCCCTTATTAGCCCGTGTCAAGAGGGAGTAATTGGAGCGGTGTCGCGTGTGACTCGGGGTAACGAACGTGCAGCTGCGGCCGCTGGCTCGGCGCCAGTGGGGCTGTTCAGTGCCATGGCCCCGCAGGTTCCTCGGGTCCCTGCTCCCCTCTGCTGTCCCTCCTCTTCGCTGCCCCACTAAACACCACCAGAGCAAAACCCCAGCTCCAGTTTAACTTGCTTAAACTCTCTGGGGAGCAGGCTCCTTGGAATGGCTCCCACCTCTGCTGTGCTGAGCTGTCCCTGCTCCATGGCATCCCTCGCTGCAAGACTTGGATGCCCTTCTGCTGTTCCTGCTGCTCCTGGCTTTTCCCAGGCATTGCTCTGTCCCTTTCAGGTCTCACCCTACTCCTTTTAGTGCAGAAGGAGCAGTAGAGTGGAGCTGTAGTGGCAAAACGGCCCAGGTCGTCGAAGCAGAAACCCATGGTCTGGAAATCCACGGAGTTAAAAAGAAATGGTCTGAACGCCACGAGGGTCCTAACATGGACATTGCTCCAAGGAGATGCTCCTCTGGTACCCTGGACCTGGTGTCCATACCAGTGTCCTCAGGCAGAGTGCCCTCAGGCAGCTGCTGGTGCATGTCTTGGGGCAAATGGCTCCTTTCCTGGACAGAAGAATGTCTGCTCTCCTCTTCCCGAGTCCTCTCCCTACCCTTCCAAACAATTTCAACAGGAACCAAGAATTTGCCATCTCTGTCCCTGGATTAGTGGAAAGGGAGCAGAAGCCAAGCTCTGCCTGCTGCCAGCCCTGCCTGGAGCCAAGCCCTGCCTGCTGCCAGGCCCCCAGCCCTCGTCATTCATAATTAATAGAGCATCTTGTCAGGGCTCATCCCACCCTGCATGGACATGCAGTGGCCTGAACCCCTCTCCCTCTTCCACACTAAATGCCAAAAGGCCATTGCAGGCAGCCAGAGGAAGCGTTTCTCAGCCCTCCACCAAGATCTTAACAAAGGTACTAATGGAGATCACTGTTAAGAGCAGAGGATTCACACCTGGCAAGGAGGAGTGGGCAGGATCCAGCCCTGGCTTGTGAAGTATGAAGAAACCAGAGCATTGATTATTCAAGACTTAATGGGAGGGAGGGGATCATGCAGTTGTAATGAATATTTAAAGGCGTGACATTGGTATCCAAAAGCAATAACGCTTCAAACCATCCCCAGAATCATTAACGAAGTGATTCAATAGCTTTTACTGTGCTCAGCAAACTGTGATAGCAATGGAGATGCACTGTCACAGCAGCTCGTAACGGGAGACCCAGATGGGCTCCATCTCTCTGGGGACATCTCATGTCAGCAGGGACACCAGTGTGTCCCCCAAGACACCAGGGAGCTCCACTCTCCTTGCCATGAGGTTGCTGCTTATTGCAGCACCTGATGGCTCAGAGAAGGTCCCAAGGATCAGGGAGCACTGACAGGTCACTCAGAAGAGCCTAAGGATTAGAGAGCACGGAGACAACGCTCCAGTGCCAAATGGATCCATACTGCACCTGAGTATGAAGGGTCAATAATTCTCAAGTAGCCTGTGGCAGGGGGGGAGGGAGGGAGGCTGAGGTAAGGAGAAGGAAGAATAACATGGAAACAACAAAACCTCATAAATTAGGCTAGTGGCATCTACAATAAGGGCATCAAGCAGAAGGCAGGTCAACAGGGAAGTCAGTCAAGCATAGCAACCAATGACAGGAGATTTAAGACAACTGCTGCTCACTTGGCTTCTCTCTATTGACTACAGAGGATGCCCAGATGCTTATGTGAGTGATGTAAGTAGCAGTGATGGGACTGCAAGGGCCAAAAATGGAACCTCTGCTCATGTTCCCTGGAAAATAGGCAGAGACCACTCATGAAGGCTGTTGTGGAGGCTGTCCTTCAGCCCTCATGACATTCTTGTCCCAGCAAGGTGCAGGCTGGAGCTCCACAGCAGTGGGATATGTTCCCACATCACCTACTGGTGTAGTCCTGGGAGAGTGCTCCAGAGGGCTCAGACACCCCAGCTTACTCAATCATCCTGATGGACAAGATTTGAGCACCCACCTGTCCCTAGATGGTGGCTCTTTTTGAGAAGGAAAATGTGGACAGGAAGAGAACTGAGGGAACTGTCCATGGGGGACACTGACTCAAGCAGCACATACTGAAACTAGTTTGCAGCACGAACTTAGGGCTAAACTCAAAGGACAAACCAAGTACAGAGCCAAGCCTAAGCCACAGCAACTGCAATACATCTGCTTCTGGATTCCACCCCGCAGCCACAGCTCGTGATGCCAGCGAGCAAGAACGATGGAAGAAACATCAGGAAGCGCAGCGGTGGCCGGATCTGCTGGACCAAGGAGAGCTACCCGGTCCTGCTAGCAGAAAGCAAGGCAAACAAGGCAGTCATTGTCAGCAGAGCCTTCAAACCCATGTCCTTAAGATGGGCCCTCATTTATGAGATGGGATCTCATTTTTCTGCATAGCTTTCAGGAGGAAATGAAGCGTGGAGTGGAGAACACTGGTGACCATCTGGCCATTCACAGCCCATCAGTTTGTTATGACACCAAACACATAATAAAGCACAAAAGATTGCACAGGAGGTAGAGGGAAAGCGCTTTGATATATTTTTTTCCCTTCCCACCGAAGCCTGCTCTTCCCTCGCCCCACATGCACACACACCCTCCGCTTCAGCCGGCGCCGCATTCGGCCCTTCCACAACTCCCCCCGTGAGACTTTCACTGGCAGCTCGGCACAAAGCAATATTCAAATGGCTGCGCCGGGATCTGAAGGGAAAATGGAAACTTTCTTGTGTGAGAACCTTACAAAAGAGATCAAAGGAGCCTAAATGGCCAGGGGAGGGCGGGGAGGGAGGGAGCGGGGGATTGACGCCTTCTCTCTGGAGGGAGGAGGAATTCCCAGGAAGATAATAAGATGGTGTTAGATGATCTGAAGGAAAGCCTGCATTGGGAAAGGACATTACTGCAGAAGGAAGAGCAGAGCCCTGTGCTGGGACACCTCTGCTCATGCAGCTGCTGTGATGGGACAAGGACCACTGCTGGCAGCAGGAGGGAGGACGTGGTCTCAGCCCCAGCTTCTCGCCTTACAACAGGAAACATCGCCCTTTCTCCCCGCGTTTCCCACCTATAAAACGTGCCTCCTTCAAAAGGCGCGGGGCAAGTTAATTTGTGCCTCCGGGCACTTCAAGGGCCCCTGAATAAAGGCAGCAAGTACCTGGCCTGGCGTGCTTTGAGGACGCTGTATTGTCCTAGCCCTGTGCTAACTTCCTCTCCAACCAGGCTTTTGATAGCCCGGCTCTTTGCTTTTCTTCTCTTTACGGATGTAATTTGCATCGCTGACATCTTGACAAAGATAAAACCCACAGTCTCCCATGTCAGTCATTATCGCTGTTTTCTTCCCAGACAAACCTGAACAGCAATCATTTGTACCTCTCAGCTGGAAAATTCAGGCAAAATGAGATGCACAGGAAGGAAAAGCTGCTTCCAGAGGGAGGGTGAGCAAACCTGGGATGAGCTCAGCTGCCTGGCCAGGGTCTGCTATTACCCTGCCTGAGCAACAACAGTCCCCCAAAAAACATGAAGCATTTTAAGGATGGGCAACACAGGTTGGGGTCCTGGACACTGCAGCTCATGTCTAAGGGCTACACCAAGGACACACTGGCCACACTCCTCCACACCACTGCCAACTTCTCTGTTGATGCTGAATGCAAGAGCATCCCTCCCCCACAGCAAGGCTGGGCTCCAACAGCCTGTGATCAACATTTTAGGGACAAATTCTCATCTTGGTTCCCTGGACAAAAATACACAGTAATTCTACCCCAGCTGAACTCCAGCACCAGGAAGTGATGTTCAACTCTCCAAAAAGCTACTGATGTGTAGCAATGAGAAGCTGTGCTACATTTCACCCTCTTATTCAGTTGCTAACAGGAGCAGCAAACAGTATTCAATAGCTGTATTTTTAAAATTTCATAGATTTTCCAAGTACCTTCTTTTGGCTCTGCCTCCCTTCCTCCTGGACATCAGCTTGACATTTGGGCTTAGGAAGCCTCTGCTACACGTCCCATGTGCAGAGCTGTCCTGTAGCAGCTCTAAAGGGTTTTATCTACAGCAAGCTTGCTCTTCATGCCTGGGTTGGTGTTTATTAATAAGAAGACTCATAGTCGTGCCAGCTGGGAGGCCCTCTGGTTGCGCTGCTCACCCAGAAATCCAGAGTTTTCACCTCCTCTCATGTCTGATCAGCACCTGGGGCTCAGGGGGCAGGAGCAACCCTGTAAAGCACCCTTTCTACATTGCTCCTCCCTGGCTGGCTGGATCACCACCAGCTCCTGGGATCTGTCAGGTGAGCATCAGGGCTGGAGCAGGGCACTTTGCCCATCACCAGCATGAAAGGTTCAATTAGCAGCTCCAGCAGGAGGTGTGTAATTTTAGATTCAGGATATCATCAGTCAATAGTTAATGAGTGAACTGATGAGAGCACGAGATGCTTTAAGTGGACGAGCTTGAAGAGGAGGTGAGTGCCTGTAATCAGGGGCGGATTGCTGCCATTCAGAGCACGCTGCCAGCTGGGTTTGCCTTCTCAAATACTTGCCTGGCTCCCCTCACCATGGAGACTGGTTGCACGGAGCATGTGGAGGGGATTTGTGTGGTTTCTTCAGTGCTGATCTCTACTCTGGGCTGAACTGTCCTTTAGCATGTCAGGACAGTTGCTGCAGGTAGAGGAGAAACCTGCAATCCATGGGCATGGCCCCAAAGGGTGCTTCACTCAGGTCACAGCAACAGGCTCAGACACAGTATCTACTGCTGAAGAAAACAGTCCTGCAGACTTTTTGGAAATGGTTTTAGACTTAATGGTGCCATTTCAGTTGGAGAGCAATACTCCATGAGTGGTACCCACTGCTGGATATCTCTGCAGGAGTGGTATCTGTCACTCAGAGGTGTCCAATATGAGAACAGTGACCATGTCCTTGTATCACTAAGGACCATGAGACAAATTTGGTTGATTAATTCAGCCTGGGCTTCCTGCTGAGATGTAAAAGTATATTAACAACAAAAAACTGAAGTCTGCTAAGCCAAATAAATGCCTGTGATGGGGTGGGACACCACTGCAACTCTTACAGCTGAGGCCACAGTAGAATGATACCTGGTTGCTACTCACCTGTGTGGGACACAGACACACCCACCCACTTGGGAAACCACGTGTCTGGTACCATCAGAGGAGTGCAGTCACCAGCTGTCCAACCCACCCCGTGACAGTGCCCAGGGGCCGTGTGGAGGGTTTGCTCACCTTGTACCACGAGGCTGCCCTGGGCCGTCCTGCGCACGCGGGTGCCGGGTTTGTTGGCGGCGCACACGTAGATTCCAGAGTGCTGCACGGTGAGGTCTGAGATCATGAGGTTTCCTGTCCCCAGCACCTGGATCCCCTCCACACCAATTGGGCGACCATCTGAAAGGAGGGGAGAAGGACAACAATCACATGCTGGACCTTTGTGTGAGGTTCCCCAGGACAGAGCCCTCAGTGAGGTCCAGTCCAGGCACTTACGGAGTGGTGCCATGTTCTGTTACTGGGATTTACCAAGTAAGGTCAGTGGGATTCAGCTGATGCTCTTTGCAGGACACAGTTCAATAAGGAGGCTAAACCAAGGTAAATCATCTCAGCTTCTGCAAGCCATTGCCTGGGTTCTTATATTAGACTGACAAGGATCCAACCAGCTCAACAGCCTGTTTCCAATGGAAAGGCTCCGAGAAGAAGAAGTCCAGTGAACCTGCAGCAGTGCTTCCCTGATGCACTCTCCCAGTCATCAGCAATTTATGACCTGGGGACTTCCTGACCAGAAGTGACACTTTTTTGCCTGCTAACCCTTGACGGATTTTTTATGGCCTTGAAAAATACATGAAGACTGGATTTTCAACTCTTTAGCTCTTGAGCATACAGCAGCTCAGGGCCAAGGAGCCAGACTCTGAGCTGGTGGTTACATCTCCTCAGATGCTTTGGCTTGGAAGGGAAATTGGAAAGGGCTGCCTCCATCCTGAATGATGGATCTGAGGCATGTGACATAGTTCAGTATCATGGAATTCACTTTTTTTTCCAACAAAGCTTGTTTTCTCTGGAAAATTCCCAGCCAGCTCTAATTACAACGTGTTTCATTAGTATCAGGCTATTGCTTTTTATTGTTTCATTGATTTGTGTTTTAAGGCACTGTCTGACAAAGGCAGCTCTAAATCAGGCCTAGCACGTGTCAGGGTGTCTGAGCAGAGGGCAAGGGGAGGAATTTTACTGGAGGAGCAGCTTAAGGGAGCACACTTTCATCAGATGGGAAATGGGAATTCAGTTCTTCTCTCAAGTTTGCTCATGGAGAACCTACAGAAATGGGAGAAGCAAGAACCAGCCCGGGTGATGTCCCCACCTGACCATCCCAAGAGCCCTCCACACTTGTGTGCTCTGCTACAGCAGAAAAATCTGTGTCTTGTGCTTCAAAGTTGTGGTTAGTAGAAGGAAAAATTCATCTGAAAAATTCCTCCTGGAAGCTCTGTTGGAATGTGCCATAATCTTGCCATGAGCTTCATGCTCCAACACAGACGGCATGCAGGGCTAGTTAAAAGTTATCCTGCAATCACGTTTTAGATGTAATATCATGCTTTGCATAATAAAGAGTATTATGAGGATTTGGGCCATTCATAACCAACAGGTTCTGGAACAGATTGGGAAAAGATGAAGGCAAAGCAGTGCTCAAGGAGAGGGACAAACCAACCATCAACCAAGAAATGCCACTTTGCAACCTGCTGCCCAGCCAGTGCTTGGGTCCTCATGGAAAGGCAGGTGATGGGACAGAGAGTCAGGTCCCTACAGCATCAGTGAGGGCAGCAAGGTCATCACCTCGCAAGCCTCGGCCAGTGGGTGCTCCTCTCTCCACAGGCCCTGCCAGGACCCTGCTCCAGTGTGGGCTTCCCAGGGGGTCATAGACTCCTTTGGGCATCCACCTGCTCCAGTCTGGGGTCCTCCATGGGCTGCAGGTGGATCTCTGCTCCCCTGTGGAACTCCATGGGCTGCAGGGGCACAGCTGCCTTACCATGGGCTGCACAGGAATCTGTTCCAGAGCCAGGAGCACCTCCTGCCCCTCCTTCCTCACTGACCTTGGGGTCTGCAGGGCTGTTCCTCTCATATATTCTCACTCCTCTCTCCAGCTGCAAATGCACAGTTTTTGGGTTTTTTCCCCTTCTTAAATCTGTTCTCCCAGAGGCACTACCCCTGTCACTGGTAGCTTGGCCAGTGGCAGATCCATCTGGGAGCCAGTCCATTAGCTCCACTGGATACGGGGGAAGCTTCCAGCACCTTCTCATAGAAGCCACCCTTCTAACCTTCACACTACCAAAACCTTGCCATGCAAACCCAATACAACCACAAAAGCAAGGGATCTCATTTTGGAATTACAGCAATATCACATTAGGAAACATCAGCAAAGCATGGACAGAGAGCTACAAAGCAGTTCCCAAACCTATCTCATGCCACGCTCTTTACATATTGTTTTTCAGGAAATTTTGAAACTTAAAGGTTTCTTTGCTTCATTAGGAAGGCAATGCCAGACCCCTTCATTATTTGCATTGCAAAGAAAAAAACCCGGGTCTTTTAGAGAGAGAAAAACAATGCCATTAAATGATTACATGATCACATAGCTGGCCAAGCCACTGCTGCAGTAAATGGCTCAGTCATTAATAGGACAGTAAAACATGACCTGTCCCACATTTAATGAGCAGTAACAAGGAACCATTCCTTCCAACCAGCACTTGAACTGAAGTGTAGAGAGGTCTGAATTAAATTCAAATTGAACTTGATTTCATCTTTTAAATTAGACCTTTTGGAAGTCTGTATTTACAATAGGCATAAAAATCAAATCTCTCTCTTGAGGGAGGGATGACACCAGTGAAAGATGCAAAGTGGCCGTACCTGGATCCTTCATCACATCATTGCCTTGACAAATACCACAGAAATGTGACTTGAATGTCAGTAGTTTTACTGTATTATTTATAATGTGCTCCATAAATTAAGCATGCAAAGACCCAGCCTGCAGCAGGTACTCCCCACAGTCCAAATACCAGCATCAGTATGTCCTCAGTTCTCTCTCTAGCTCCAGCTATTAACTAGAGGTGTGGTGGTCTGAAGAAACATCTCCTGTAAACCAAGAATCTTTCATTTCCCTGGAGGACAAAGCTCTCCAAGCTCAGAAACCTCAGGGATCTGCCATTTGGGTCAGAGAGTGTGACCACCTCTAACAGCCAGCAAAGATCACTGCCAGATCATCCCAGACACCTCTCACTCAACTCCTCCCTTCCAAAGAGCACTGAAAAGGGCTTGTGCAGAAATACTTCTACTTTCCCAGCCTACTCCATTCTTCTCACTCTGCTGTGCCTCACTCAGCCTGAGCTGTCCTGCAGTCAGTTAGAAGGTCTTCAGCTAATATCTAGTCCAACTTAGCAACAGTGACAACACATATAAATAATACAGAGTGTTTACCCAAGAAATTCCTTGCATCCTGAAAGCTCAGCACTTTGCAGAACTGCTGTGCTGAGGGACTTAATCTCACACCTGCTTTGCAAAGGTTGTTATTTATTTTAACCCTGTTTTCTTTCCACAGAGACCTGAAGAGTGGCTTGGATCAACCAATCCCAACCCTGTGAATCCCAGCATCACTTGCCATCACCAAGTCATGTCTCCATGGAGGAGAGCTGAAAGACTGCAAAAGCTAATACTCGCTCAGTTCCCAAAGCTCTCGGGACCCATGAAGGCTTGAAACCACTGCTCATTTAATGTGACCTTCTACTTCTTTTTATGAAGTCAAAAGCAGAAAATTTGAGGGCTGAAAACAAGCCAGTCTGTGGAAATGTCACACAGATTCTCTCTGTCGATGCTCAGTTGATGAGGACAGAAGGGGGAGGTTCAGCTGTTGGGAAGAGCAGACAGACCCCAATAAAGGAGACCATTCTCCAAATGGGAGATGCTCACAAAAGATGTTCCGACTACAGCCTAGTAGAGACTTCACAGAATCATAAAATGGTTTGGGTTGGAAGGGACCTTAATGACCATCCAGTTCCAACCTCTCTGCCATGGGCAGGGACACCTTCCACTATCCCAGGTTGCTCCGAGCCCTATCCAGCCTGGCCTTGAACGCTTCCAGGGATCCAGGGGCAGCCACAGCTTCTCTGGGCAACCTGCGCCAGGCCCTCCCCACCCTCACAGGGAAGAATTTCTTCCTGATATCCAAAATAAATCTACTCTCTTTCAGCTTAAAGCCATTCTCCCTTGTCCTATCACCACACACCCTTGCAAAATCCCCCTCTCCAGGCCTTCCTTTAGGTACTTCCATGTTCCCTGGTGGGATGGAGTCTGGATGAAAGACGTCTGCGGTTTGGGAGCCGCATTATTTATTTTTCCAAGGTGTATGTGATGCTTTCTGGAGCCCATTCTCCGCCTGCTAGCCGGGTGATTGGCACACCGGCACCAATTACGGAGCCCCCTTAAAACGTGCCAGGCGATATGAATATGCAACAACACCAACGCCTTTCTTTGATAAGTAGCAAGTAGAAAGAAAGTAACAACTTTCTAATGTTGATCATTTAGGTCTTTTGTGAATTCTTTGTATTGTGTCATAGTAGCCTTCCACTTTTTAGACACATGGGTCTCCTGCTCGGGCGGACACTGGGCACTGTGGATTAGCATATTTAGAGTACATTGCAACAGTTGACTATTCAGTGTGTGAAGTGGTGAAATTTACTCTATTATTTCTAAACACTTACGGGAACGGTGCTCCTGTCAACCAGTCAGCCATCTATTGCAAGCTTCTGTGTCCAATAAGTTACCAATTAATTGGCTCCTACAATTGTTGTATAGTTTACTTCTTGAATGGCTCCCTCTTTAGTAATTTCCTTCCCATTGTGCGGCCCTTTCTGACAACTTCTGTATAACGCTATCAGATAATCACTGTCCTTTCTTTCTCGCCTCACTTTTCTATATCTCTCTAAATAGTTTATTATTCTGCCTTGGTACCTTTTATGGAGGCCAGCTCAGTGGCCTGTCAGTTAAAGGGTAAGGATACATTAAAATCGTCGTTCATTCAAAAGGCTTTGCAGTAAGTGCCCAGGATATTCATTTGTGCACACATACAGGTCCAAGCCTGAAGTGCTTAGCTCTGAAAGGAAAAGCCCTATCTTCCCTGAACAAACCCTTAATGATTTTACATCTTTCTCAGAGCCTGCTCTCTAACGAATGTTGACATTTCATGCACGGCAAGACACAGGAATTCTGTTTGTGGTCAGGGGGCTACAACATATTCCCAAGGAAATTAAATTCAAAATTGATTGTGTGACACTCAAAAACTGGCCCAGAATTTGAATAATTCCCTTCAAGCAAAATATAGCTGCCTTTCCCACTGAAAACCAGCCAGGTTTTAGCAAAGCCAAAGCAAAAAGTGCAAATGGTGTTTATGGCTTGCTTTCCCCTGTACCAGAAAGCTGTGAAAGCAAAATTGTTCTTTTGCTCCTTTTTGACAGAAATGCCACAATGTCAAAACTGTGAGCAAAGGAGATCAGAGAGAGACTCCAAAACAGCAGCATGCCCTGTGCAAAGCCCAACACAATGGCAATGCCACAGCTCTTCTTTACTTTGACCAGGCAAGAAAGGTGTTCACATAGAATTGACTTTTTTGGTTTAAATTAAGTCAGGTCTACTGCTAAATCAGCTGCATCTCTCTAAGACTTCGTGGCCATGGATTTTTTTAATCCTGGGAACGGATTAAAAGTGGGTTTTTTCCTAAGCTGAGTAAATTCCTGCCTTGGCAGGGGGCTTGGACTAGGTGATCTCCAGAGATCTCTTCCAACCCTAACGATTCTGTGCAATTAACTGGTTATCTAGAGCTAAACCGGCTCTGTAGGAGGAACTTCAGGAAGACCTCCCCATGGGAGGAAGCCAGAGATGACAGATACTCTTAGGATCTCCCTGTCCAGAATAAACCCCTCTCCGTCCTCCTGATCACGCAGACACAGAGACATGAAAGTGCTTCCGAAATGGCTACGAAGAGATGACAAACCCACCGAGCCATCAGAGAGCCTGTTCATGTGCCACATCACTGTCGAGATCTGTGTCATATTAACAAGACCTCGTGATGCTTTGGACAGGAACCATTCCTGCTGAAGGGGAGGGAAAATAACAGGATCTGTTTCCCATTCAGTAGCTCTCATTCTGCCCCAGTGCTGCGTGGAGTGGGTATTTCTTTTTGGTGGAAGGCAAGGCTGAGCTCAGACCATCCAGACAAACACTGCATGGTGCTATTACATCTTCATTATTGCACTGCTCTATGGAGACAAGTGTTTTGAAGAAGGTAATAAGCACTTATAATTAAGGCAATTATAAAGTAGTTTATTATAGTTGAGCGCTAACGTAGAGCTGCCTTGTGTCCAAGAGAACCAAACCAGTGATACAGTGTGTCTGGGGAATCTTTAAAACAGCATCAATCTGATACTTATGGCTCCAGAGGCAAAAAAAGCAGCTAGTGGCAGAGACAGGCTGATTTACATGCCATCAGAGGATGCAAGCAGGAGGGCAAACACAGAAAAATCATGCAATTGATTCTGGATACATGTCCTCATTCCCTGTCAGACAAGTCTGGAGTGGGAAGTCACCCTGCCCATGAGCTGGACCCTGGCCCTTGGAGAGCCACAGAGGTGAAGTCCCACATCCAGCACAGCAGCACAAGACAGAATTACCCTGTTCGTGCTTCACAGCCACCTTGGGGAACAAGGGGAAATGAGCATCCCAAAAACAACATCACTTGTGGACCACAAGGGCTTGGGAAACACTAAGTGAACCCAACCCAATACCGCGCGCACAGGCAGAGTTACAAGCTCTGGAAGATAAAGCAAAATCCATCAGCTCTTTGCTCAGCACAGGTTTCTGTAGGGCAATGGAAGTGCTGCTCTGAGCAAAATAGTTTCCAAGCTATTATCACAAAGTTAGAACCTAAAACAACCCTTGGAGAAACACAGCCCTTTGCTCTTCATTGTTTGCATGATGCCACCTGACGCTATCTCTGGTTTCCACGCTGATTTAAAAACATATCACGGACCCCAGCAGCAAGCATTTGTTTTTTTCAGAGCTTCAGACGCACTACTTTAAACACTCTCTTTCCCTCAAAATGGTTTTAAAACTCCCTGAACAGGTAGCAAGTTTCTTTCAAGTCTCTTTTTACGTGAAATATGTGTTTGTGTATGATTTTGCTTCTCTAGGCCAACAGTGGTGATGTTTTTGATGCAGCAGCAGAAGATGCTGTCACTCGAGAAAAGATAAAATTATCACCTTTCAAGAAACATTTACAGGTTTAACCAACCCACTTCTCTAACAGCTGAAAACAGGATCTTGGCAGAGAGAAAATCCAGTGTAGACATGAGGATAAAAAGCACTTCAAGCCTACAATTAGCTTTAGCGGGAAGGGAGAGGGTGAATCGCTTGTTGTATAAAATAGTCAGTGGCATCTACCTATTTCCCACATGATGGCTATGGGGAGGAGGAGCAGGAGGAAATCCCAGTGACCCCAGGGCTTACCAAGGCGGCTCCAGGAGACGATGGGCCGGGGGTTGCCCGTGGCGATGCACTCCAGCACCGCCGTCTGGTGCACTGTCAGCGTGAGGTTCTCCGGCCCCACGAGAATCATGGGGTCCTTGTAAACGGTGGAGTGGGAGCCTGCAAGGACAGAAGCATTGTTAAAAGGCATCTGATTATCTCTTGTTTAAAGGAAACATCGAGGACTTCACGCATCCTTTAAGTACATCTCTTCTAAGCACACATCCTCTTCCATCAGGAAGTGCAGTGAAAGGACAAGGAGTAATGAGATCAAACTGAAAGAGGGGAAATTTAGGTTAGATATACATAAGAAATTCTTTGCTGTGAAGGTGGTGAGGCACTGGCACAAGTTGCCCAGAGAAGCTGTGGCTGCCCCACCCCTGGATGCATCCAAGGCCAGGTTGGATGGGGGTTGGAGCAACCGGGGATAGTGGAAGGTGTCCCTGCCCATGACAGGGGGCTGGAACAAGATTATCTTTAAGGTCCTTTCCATCCCAAACCACTCTAGGACTGTAAATGATGTGGCTGATGTAATCCTCAATAAATTTGAGATGCACCTGAAACAAAAGGAGCACGATGTTTGCATGACAGTCTGAACATGTTTTAAGTGTACACTGATATTCCTGGGGAAACCCCTGAGCCAACTGACGAGCCACAAACAGCCCTGTTAACACAGGGATATCAGCAGAGTAAAGAAGGGACTGCACTGTGAACTGCAGAGAGCAGATGTGCAGGAAAACCATGGTATATAGGGAGGACACAAGATACAGGACAGCAGGAATGCAAATAAATGAAGGAATTGCTTTATCTTTCAGCATCTCAAGCCATAAAGTAATCCATGCAGTCCACAATGCCTAAATCTGTCTCTGTGAGCAGCCTCTCTTGCTGAGAGGCTGTCATTTGCTCCAAAAGCCCTGTCCTGGGACACAGAGTGATGGAGGTGCCAGTCCCTGACTCCTGCTGAGGATCTTTTTGAGAGGTGATGCTCCTCTGATGACTGCAGCCCATGGGGCTGTAATTTCCCTGCCATTTTACTGCAGGGAGAGGATCCATCCCATTCCTCTAATTGTGACACATTCACTGCTCACAACACAATGACTAATCATTTATTTGCACTACAGTAGCACCAAGTGGCAGCAACCAAGAATGAAACCCATCACACAAGATGATGCACAGATTTATAATAAAATAAAATCCAGGCACAGGATTTTTCACTAGACAGGACAAGAGAATGGGACAAAACCACCATCCTGTGTCAGGAATACCACAGCTGAACCCAAATCTTCTGAGTCCTTAAAAAGTGCCTTATCCCTGGGCCAAATGTCCCTGCAGCCTTTACTCCCATTTGTTGGGAGCACGAGAGCAGGAAAACCAACGGATATTCTCAGTTCTCCATCAGCAAACAGGAACACTGAAAACCTCTGCATTAGTCTTTCTCCCCATCTCCGATGAGAGCTGGGTTACACTCCAGAAATGCTGAGGTCAAGCAGTGTTTAAGGAATTCCATCAATCTGACAGCTGCTGCTGGCAAGAAAGCTCTGTACACCTGTGGAGAGAAATACTTGTGCTGGTCGTGTGCCCCCGAGCAGGAGAGGGGCACAGGGAGGGCTGGGGAGCACAGCCCCTGACTGGGCTCTGCCGTAGGGATCATCCCACACTGACTCCTCTCCGTGGACTTTCCAATGTCCAGAAAGCTTGTTAAAGAGAAGTGATCCACCAAAAAATATCTGCAGGGGCTTTTCTCCAAGAAAAACATTCTTTTCTTCCTGCACTTCCGAGTGTTATCATTTCTCAGCAGCTCAGGGTGTAGCAGGGGGATTTCACAGTGGTCCAAGGGCAAACATGGATCAGAGCACCTCGTCTGTTAATTGTTCCTACAGGAGCTAAACAGGGAGCGATAAAGTGACTCCGAGTTCATGTGTAAATGGGCAAAATCCAAGAAAAATCACCGTGTCAGTGTGACTTAAGAGCTGACTTTCTCACTAAATGCATTTCACTGCAAGCCATAAAATGCAGATTTTTTGATGAGAACCAGAATGCACAATAAATTCATATGACCGGCTGGTTAACCCCAAGAGATCCGAAAAACAATACCTTCCCCTCAGTACCTCAGAGTGCCTTTAAAACCCATGTAGATTTATTGTTCTAAATCACAATACTAAATGTTCACGCTTAGAATAATACGGTATTATCAGCGTATTATATAGCGATTTCAATATTTCAAAACACAGAGAAATGAAATGAATTGTCCAAGGTCACCGAAGAATATCAGCAAATGGGAGCTGAGATCAAAGAAGAATTTATAAAACACACTATTCTGACAATAAAGTGTTTTAATAATCTCACTCTGATTTATACTCTGAGTCCTAAGCAGACATTCAGGTTTTGGGGTGTGGGCTCAGCTCCCTGAGTCTGGGCAAACCCTGCCCAGCTCTGGAAGTGGCACTGCTGCTCACCTTCTCCTGCAAAGGCCATGGAATGATTCCGTAGCTTTGCTGCTGAGCCCAATGTCCATGACAGTGCCAGCTCCAGGGGTAGATGGGACAGTGATCCAGCAGGGATGCTGCAGTCAGACATCAGCACCATGCACAGGGGCCGACCATGCCCCACCATCAAGGAGGAGGTTTCCTTCTACAACCAGAACAGCCCTTTGATGCAGGGTTGGGGAGGAAAGAGTGACAAAACGAGGGACTTGTGGCAGGGGAGCGCTGCTGGAGCACAACAGGGGTCAGGGCAGCACAGGGGGGATTTATTCTGAAAGGGAAAAAGGCTCTAATGATGCCCGTGGTCCCCAGGGACTCCACCAGCAGCAATCGAGGTGAGGACTGGGAGGTCCCCGGCACCGCCAGCAGTGACAGGTACTCCAGCAGGGACGGGAGCGTCGCCTGCCAGATCTTGATCAAAAGGACAGCAGCAGAGAGAGATGCAGCTCACACTGGGAAGGTGTCAGCACAGAGAGGCAGGCAGCCCCTCGGGAGCAGCTCTGCTAAGCAGGCACTTGAAAATAATCAATCAGCAGGACTGGAAGACATCCCCGCACCGCTCGCTGCTGGCAGCCCTGCAACCAGGGAGGGGAGGGAAAGCACTTCAAGCAGGCTCCTTCATCCCCCACAGGCAGCCACCCTCCTCTTCCTCTCCAGCCAGGGTGTGGCAATGCCCTGCAGGGCACACAGCCTTCCAGAGCCCATCTTCATCCTCTCCCTCCTCTCTCCCCAGTCAGGGCTTGGTTGGAAACCCCAGGCAGGTAGGCTTAGTGCTTCTCTCTGGGCAAAGCAATGGCTGAAGTTGCTGCCCTGTTAGGAAAAGAGGGAGCCCTCCTGCCGTGATGAAGAGCAGAGAGAACCATTCCCTTCACCCCATGACACAAGTGGGAGGTGACATAAAGATTTGCAAGAATACTGGTTTATCCCACCATGCCAAACTCCACGTGCACAGCACCCCTTACATTAGCTCAGTATTTACTGACACAACACCCACACCAGTGAAACAATGTCTCTGTGCCACCTCTGTGGTTCACCACAGCCTCCCTTGCTGTGCCAAAGCCTGGGGTTCACATGCTAACACATACCTGCTGCCCTGGTCTAACAGATATTTGTGTGCTCTTAGCAAACACCACAGAGCACAAACCTTTTCCATGGAGGTTTAACCCACTGCAACGGGTTTTTCATGCAAATGTCCCATTACAGCAGCTTTGCTGACATGCAGGCATTGAAGCATGATCCAAACCCTTCAACAGACACTTATACATGGTGCCTGTATCCATCATCCAACTGCTTTAAGGAAGAGAAAAAAACCACAAATGTTTCACAGACAGGAAACCTGGAAAATATCCATCTGAAATGAGGGATGGTCAGATGAGAACAACTAGTGCTTTCTGCCCTGCGAGAAATAATAACTCAGGCCAGTAAACTGACACAAAGAACTTCACCACGTCGATAATTTACTGTTCTTTTTTCCCTCCACGTGGCTACTGTTCAAATAGATCAAGAAAACAGATAAGTAACAGGCACCAAAAGCTCCCAGGTCTTTCAGAACCAGTTAACCTGCTTTCTTTGCCCGTCAGAGTTGATACACACAGCATCACTCTTCCCTCAGCTTCACCCCATTTCACACGCGCAGTTTTTTCACTGCTGGCAGAGGCTCATCCGACACTCAGTAGAGGTGTTAAGTCTTGCTCCAGAACCACTGGCCAGGCAGCGTTTTGGAGGGTGATGGGGAGCTGTGAGATGTAACTGTAGGTTGACAAGCCTGGGTATCAGCAATTATGTATATCTGATGGACAGGAGGATTGCAGCTCGAGGGAAAGACCTTTTGCTGCACATAAAAAAAGCTCAAGGAGAAGCACACACCCAACCAGCCCTGTGCAGATTTCCCTTGCCTCTTATCTCCAAAGATGTAATCTACATTTCCACAAGGAATTTGGAATGTCTCCCACTGGAGAGCCATGGATGTATCACCACTGTTGTCACAGGGGAGCACAGCGGGTACCCAGAATCTTAGGGGGGTTCTGACTCGGAGTCCTGTATCTCAGAGCTCACCCTGCCAGCAGGACACAGCCACAATTTGCAGTGACTACTTCTTTGGCACTTTTATCTTCCCTGAAGGTAACCCCCAAGTGCCCTGACATCTAGGAGAAGGAAGCTGTCCTGTTTTCATACAAGGATGTTGAACAGATGAAAGGCATTTCTAACAGGGCACAAAGGTGTCATTCACTCCTGGCTGCTTGATCGTCACACCCCACCTTGGGCAGCAAGAAGCCAAACAGCAAGTATGTGATTTTGGCCTTTTTTGCGGGGAGGAGACCATAAGGCACCAGTATTTCCTCAGCTGAAGCTTTCTGAGGTGAAAACCTATTTCATTCACTGACTTCAAATGCGGATAAAGAACCAAGTCAAAACTCAGCCTGGGGTGCTCAGGGTTTCTCCTTCTCATCTTCCAAAGGAAGGTTAGGTTGCTTCAGTCCATGCAATGCTAATAGCCTACAATTCCCTTATTAAATAAAGAATTGATCACCCTGTGTGCTGCAATTACTTCCAGAGTGGGCGGGTCTCATAAGGAAATGATGAATCGTCCATGTTTCCAAAAGAATTTATTTAATGTAAAGCTGCTGTAACTCAATTTTCTCACTGTCCTCCTTCCATCCAGAAACTGGCACTAATTTACAGGCAAAGAGACAGATTTATCTGCTATCAAATGGACTGATCTGGCAGGAACTAATAACAATCCAGAACACAGGAGGTGTTACGACTGGACAGAGGAATGCCTCTCAGTGCTGTCAGCCTGCAGCTCTCCCAAACTGTCCTGGTTCAGAACAGCAGCGGAAAGAAGACAGAGAGGCAGCCAGGACAGTGTAGCTGGTACTAACCTGACACGGTGAGTCGGGCCTCCCGGCTGAACTTCACATTAGCGATATTGGTGGCAACGCAGTGAAATATCCCACTGTCTTCTGCTCTCAGTCCCGTTATCTGGAGAACCCCCTTGGGAAGCAGTGTGTACCTGTGGGAGGAGAAAAGCAGAAACAAAAGCTTGCAAAGCAGGGCACGATGTGACAGCAGGCTGCACTCCCATCCAGGTGAGGCAGGTTGGCTCCCACATCCCAGTGTGGAGGTGCCAACACACCAAGGGATGTGGCCCCCGCAGGCCGAACCCACGCCTGTCACTGCATCAGTACTTTTATAGATACATGAGCCTCTGGTCTTCTTTAAGGGGGGTATGTTCCCTTTCTTTATCTCCTGCTGCATCCTTGAGAAATGATGACTTTTGCTGGGAGGCTACAAAGTAAATGCTTCCTATTTAACCTGTGGAAAAGCTCTGGCAGTGCATTTTCACATGAACACAGGTGACATGGGATTTATCATGACGTGGGAATTATCACTCATCAGCTGCAGCACAGAGACCATGGACAAGCATCAGGAGAAGTCTGTGCTCCACACTCCCCAACTCCAGGTCGAGCTCTCAAATCCACATGACCTTGAAACCTCACAGGCATTAAAAGGTGTGTTTAAAATAAACACTGAGCGGGCAAATGTAAACATCAATAAATATTTCATATCTTTAAAACACGGGTACATTTAAATCACGCGTGCATACACACATACATGTACACATACATTGCAGGTTGCTTGGCAACCACGTGTTTAAATTGGCTGGTAGTAAGCCATTACACCGTGATGAGTTAATAATCCATTTCCGTCTGGAAGATGCAGAATATCTTTTCCATATCAGCATATGGTTAAGTGCCTATAACCTGCTCCCCGTGCCGGGTTCCAAACGTGCGGCTCCGTGTCGGCGGCAGTGTGACAGCAATCAGTTTTACACGGCCCGAAGTTGATTGCAATCTCTCTGGGACTTTAAAATGCCCATTGTTTTGGATGAATTATACCACAAGAAGCCCTCGTTTTTGTTAACAATCTGCCCACAGCATTAGAAGATTCAATTCCAAAGCTATTATCCTGCCTTCAAAGCCTCCGAGTGCAAGACTCGGCATACAAATTTATATACACTTTATACGCAGAAATGCACCAGGCGTGATTAATGCAGAAATCCAATTCAGTTAGAGAAGCAACTCTCATCACCCAGGCTCTGGTGTCAGAGATTAATCTACTGAGCTGACAATAAAAAACCTCCCCAGTAACTTTACTCCTTCGAAAAGCCAAATCTGTTCAAAATCAGGACACGAATGTAGCGAAACTGCTCCTAGCCCATGAGCCCCAGGGCCTGGGCAAGGTCCCTGTCCTGGAGGAGAACCAGCAGGGATGAGATCAGCTTGGAGCTCTCTGGGTTGGAGAAAAGTCTTGACTTCTTGGTCTTGGAGCTCCTCAGCCTTGGAGAAAAGAAGTCCTAGTCACATTCAAGTCCCTGCCATATCCCTGACCATCTCCACACCTGTGTCCCTGAGATCAAATGCAAAGGATCAGTGATGCATGGAGGACTTCATCTGTCCTGCTACATCTCATCAGGATGCCACAAGGCATCAGGCCCTGTTCTCTGACCCTTACTTCTGCTGATGCCACCTCGGATCAGTCATCCTGCTCTACCACATCCCCAGCTCAGCACCTGTATGAGTAAGAATCCTTCAGAGGAGATCAAGCTTAACAAATCAACCCTGTGCTGGGCTAAAAAGAACTCAGATGAAAAACGCAAGGAAAAACAAAACCTGACAGTTGCAGTTTTCCACAGCAGATTTGGGCCTCTTGGGTCCTTCTACTGTAAGTTCACCGCCACGCTGAAAAGGTCAGGCATTGTTCCAGCCCTCGTGTTTTCTCCTGCCTCCAAAGAACCCAAACACGTTCGGCTGCAGAACTGACATTTTTAAGAATAGGGGCTTTCAGGAAAGTATTTACAGCTTCCTGGTTTCGCCTGTTCCCAAGGCACGGGCGTCAATCCGCGATCGAGGTGTGCGGTGACCGATTGTCTCCCGCCATCGGGTGTGCGGCTCCCGAGCTCCAGCTGGGATTCCTGGAGGCTGCCGGCACAGAGCACGTGTTTCCTGCCACCTGTCCCACGCCGCTCCGAGGATCAAACCCTGATGAGGGATGTTTCCTATGCGAAGGGAGAGCCTGTCAAACACAGGAAGTGGCGACGTGCTACTCCGGGTCTAGGTTGGGAAGGGAGGCAGCTGGAGTTTCTCTTTAGGAGAACTGCTTTGGATATGGCAGCCCATGGTTCCATGGAATGCTCTCTGCAGTTGCCACACACAAGGCAGTCCACCTGGGAAGGAAAGTCTAATAGCCACAGTGTAATTCAGCACTTGCAAGAGTTCAGTACATGGAAGGTCCTAAGTCATGGATCTGGCTCAGAATGAGTTACATAAAATGGAGCCACGGAGGGATGATGGATGCCAAAGCTACTCAGCTTTTTGAGGACTGCTGGGCAGGTTCTTCAAGCTGGAAAACAAAACTGAAGGAGGGTTGATCATGGAGGATCAGTGCAAGATCTTCAAAATCAGCTAATGGGCTTTATCTACCTCTCCTGGGAGATGCCAGTACTTCTGTATGGTGTTTGGTCAGAGCGAGCCCAGAAAAGCCACAACATTAAGGGAAAGAGTCTTCCACAGCAGAAACACTGGCCAAGACCCTCAGCCCAGGTTAGTTGTCTCTGAGCACAACTGTGAAAGCAATAGCAAGCCTGGCCACTCTCTTGCACCTGGAGAAAGGCCAGCAGCACATGGCTTGGACATGTCCTACCTTTCGTTGTCTGTGTTGACCGGCATGCTGTTCTTATGCCATAGGATGACCGGCTCAGGCAAGCCATGGATCTGGCACTGGAATCTTGCTACACCACCTTCCTCCACCACTGCGTTCTGAGGGTGGATGTGGAAGTCGGACATCGCTGGAAGGCAAAAAGAGAGACAAAATTATTCACATGTGAAGAGAGATCCACAACCAGAAGATGTCAACAACTTCACATGACCTAGAAACACCCTAATTTCCCAGAGCTAGCAAATGGGATTGTAATGCAAGAGCAGAAGGCTGGTTTGCAGCTTAACATTCTGCACGGACAAACAGGACTAGTGGCAAGTTCTTGATATCTGCCTGCCTCTGCACAACCAGAACAGGAGGCCATGCTCCATGACCCACATGGTTCTCAGTGAGGTCTATGGGACCAGCAAGATACACAGCCACTGCACTGGCACGCAACAGAGGTCATTCTCAACAGCTTGAGCAGGTTTTGGACCTACATCAGAAAAGAGACGTAGATTCTTTATGTTGCTGCCAGTGTCTTAGGTACATTGTAAATATCCTTCTGATGTGCACAGCTTGATTCCTGAACTCACTTTGTTTAAATACCTTGACCAGGAGAGCTCTCCAGCACCTTGGTAAAACCTACAACCTTTGATTTCCATCTCTCTTTGCATGTGCTCACGTTCATCGCATGCTCTGCCTTCCAGCACTGCAGAAGGAACAGCCACATCCCTCCGATGTGGAGCAACAGGGTTCAGCTGACAGAGAGAGCAGCTGCCAAGAGCTCAGCAAAGTGAGGCTTCTGGGGTTGGGACCACCCAACAGCAAATGACACATCCCACCACGCAGGATAAATACAGACCAGCCTGCTCCAGCACAGCCACAGCTGTAACCATCATGTGGAAAGACTCTGGCATGCTGTTAGAGCTACATAAATAATACCACAATTATTACTATTAATTAATTGGAAGGTGCTGCCTGTTGACTCCGCAATAAACATATTCGAAGCTAATAAACATCCCAGTGGTTCTTTAGCTCATGATTCATTTAAAGTGCTGCATCCACGGGGAGATCTCTCACATTATCCTAGAAAATAAAGTCCAAGAGAGATTTTGCTTCACCGCCCCAGCCCGATGACGCCCTTCTCCCAATCAAGAAAGCCTCGTCCCCTTTTACATGCATCAAGTGTAATGACTATAGCTCTGCTAAGGTACAAGCTGCCTGTGTGTCAGGGCAGCTTAATCATTCATCTGCAAACTGCAGTCGGGCTCAGGCAGATGGGAGATGGCCATTAGCAATCATACATTAAATATGTGTTGCATTAACCTACGCTGCTCCCGCAACCACCGCTCTCCACCCTCTGACGGCAGATTTGTTAAGCTGATGGAGCAACACGGAGCAAAGCCCTGGTCCCGCACGGCCATAGGGTTGGGATGGGTTTGTAGCCATGAGGGTGGGATGGGCAGCCAGCCCCACACTGGGATGCACCAATGGGAGCAGGATCAGGGGTGGCTGTGCGATGCTCCGGCCAGATGGGAACACACCAGCACAAGGCGAAAGATCAGAGAAAATTGTATTTCCCTTTCCCAGGATGAAAGCTAATGCAATTATCCTCTCTGGTAAAAGATGGAGCCCAATGGTGCAATGGCAATTTACCCAATTCACATAAATTTAGCCTTGAAATGAGACTGATCATGTCCCAGAGCACTCAGCCATGTGGGAAGGAGCCCAAAGGCTGCTGCGGGGGTCTCCCATACCAGGTGATCCCTCTTCCAAGGTGGAAAGGGATGCTTCAAAAAATGGGGGATCCAGGGGTGCTTGCAGCAGGAGAGCTCAAGGAAGCCTGCAGGGAGACCCAGGCCAGGGTGAGCGTCTTGCAGCCAAAGCATATGAACCCTCACCAAAAAATGAATCCAAGAATTAATGAGAATGATGCAAAGCTCTTTAATAAAGAAAAAAAAAAGAGGGATTCAAATGCCTGCAGGAAAATTCCTTTCAAATGTACAGATGCTCAGTGCTGAGGTTTTTCAGTGGCTGACAGGGTTGATAAGAAGAGGGAGGTGTGAATGAGAACAGCCCCGGCACAGATTTCGCTCTGCTGGCTACAGAATTCACTGCCATTCCTTTATTTCAATAATATCACCTCTTATAGGTAAAACTGCAGCAATAACCTCTACTCTTAAAGACACCAGTATTAATATTTATCATGAATAAAACATGGCAAGTTATAAATAATTCAGTTATGAGGATGTTAAGTAAAATATTACTCTTCAACGACCCTATAATGTGGCTTTGAAGCACAGTTTTATGTTAAATGCCTAGGAAACACTGTGACCCTTGCCAAGACCAGCTGGTTTGCAGAAGATGCATTAAAAATTCATGCACTGAGCTACAAAATGCTATTTTTAAAACAGGCTTACGAGTTTATTTACAGTTGCAGAAACAAAAGACTTTTGGAGTATCCCTTGTAAAACAACAACAAAACTTCCACGTAAGTGATCAGCTGGTGTTTTCAGCCTGGGAATAAATCACCGGGTGGAAGGAGAGGAGAGGGACAGGAGCTCAACTGCTTTACAGGGTATTGCTTGGAGGGGCTAAGTCTCTGCCGACCCAGGTGAGGTTTTTATACGCCTCCCAACTGATTGTAACAAACTCATGGAGCAGAGTGCTTTGCTCCTGTTTGTCACTTGTCTTTCCTCAGCGAGAGCCAGGACCTCTGTTATCCGCCGGGCACTATTGTTCCAGCTGCCATGGAGAGGAGCTGCGCCAGCCCGAGTGGGGTTGGCCAGCAGCCAGGGAGCTGCAGCTCATTTCTATGCTAATGGCCATAATAATTTTAAAAATAAATACATGCAATCACAGTGTTCACCCGCGAGCTCCTAAGAGGGGAGGCTCTCTCTAATCCATCTGCCCGCAGTCTCCGCTATCCGGCAAGACAGCATCCACGTGCCAGTGGCAGGATTGGTGCCGCCCCAGGCCCTTTTCACCATCATCAGAGGGGGTGAATGCCACCCTGTTCCCATCAAACTTCCCTCTGCCATCTCCAGGTGTCATCAAGCCATAAAAACAACATAAATCACAAGCACACTCATTGCTCCACACTGACACTCCAAGCCGTGGTGTCTTGGTGCTTTTGCTTCCACCTCACCTGGATATGGCCACGGTACACAGAGATTGGCACAGGGCAGGGAGAAAAAAAAAGGGCTCGCAGCAGATGAGGAATGGTCCTGGCAGCCTTCCTACACTGCAGGCATGGGAGAGCCTCCTCCCAAAAGATGTTGGCCAAGGCTAGCTTCAGATTGAGCTGTCTACAGCCACACTGACACATGAGGTAGAGGAGTTACTCCTCATCCCTTCTTCCCTCATGTTATAGGATCCTCACCTAGGAGGAGATTGGATCAGAGGTGAGGCTCTTCCCTAAAGAGAACCTGATGCTTGGGATCATCCACCACCTAACCCCCACTGGGACGCAGTCCCTGATGACACATCCTATGGATGCAGTGCAGGTGAGCTCTTATGCTCATCCATATTCACAGAGGTTTCATTCTGGGGTCTGCTCTAATCAAAGCACAAACACTTTCTCCATCCCAACAGACCCTGTGGAAAGGCCAACTGAATAAAAATGAAAATAAGTATTGAGTGAAATTTTCTCTACTCCATAAAAAACTAAATTGAAACCATTAGTGGCCAATCCTTTTTTGCTCAGTACAGCATCAGTGTTAAGCCAGAGATTGACCCAGATTTGATATAGAAAAAGAAAACATTAACTTGGTATGTCAAAGCAAATCCCAGGCCTTTAGAATCATTAAAACACAAACATTGTGCAGGCACAAGGAGAGGAGGAAGACTTGAAAGGTTCAGTGCCAAGCATGGTGTTAGGAGAGCTTTTGGGAAGCCCAGCTAGTTCTGCAATCACATTGCCTTTTGCTTTTAAATTACTTATGGGGAAACAGAGACCCAGGTTGGTTCTGACACAGAAGGATGCTGGGGATGGCCGACCATCCTCACCACCATGGATGACACACAGTCCACAAACAGCCCTCAAGTGAAGACCCTTTCTTCACGTTTCTGCCACCAACCTGTTTAATTCAAACCTTAAAATGCCTCAAAGTTAATACAGTATAAGGAAGAAGAGCTTTATGAGATATGTCTCCAGTACCTGGGCTTCCAGATGCCCCTGTCAAGGGCAGGCTTTGTTAGCTCCTTTACAGCTGAGGACAGTGAAAATCTGGGAGGCAAATGATTTGCCCAGTGCAAGAGAACAAGCCACAGGCAAGTAGACCCCTTCCAAGACTGGCTTCACCCCAGTGATGGCGACAGCTGTTGATTTTCATACTAAATTTCCCTATTTACTAAAAAATTGAATTTCCCCTCAGGTGACCAGAAGTCAGGGTTGTTTCTAAAACACGACTACCATGTCAATTAAACCCAAACTTGAACCACTCTCAAATCAGGCTGAGAGCTCCAGCAGAACCAACCTTCACGATCTGTGAGATTTACTGAGCACCTAACTCCTTCCCAAATGTTTTCCCTGCGAGCCACCAGCACCAAGGCAAGCAGAGGGATTAAATTTTCCATTCCCTCTTGTCTTAGGAGACCTTCACCATTAAGTTAGTAACCAGCCAGGGAATATTTTCAAAGAAGTCAGCAGGTGAACACAGGTCCCTCATTTGTCCCTTCCACACTCTGGAAATGGAGGATTCTCCTGCAAAAAAGAGCCAGCACAAAAGATGGGGGGCGTATAGACACCACAAATCCCATCCTCTCCTCTCTCCCCCCTGCCTTCCAACAGTGGCGCCTTCCCAAGTCTCTCAGAAAAAAGACACCGCATCTTCTTTCTCTACATTTTTTTTTCCTTTAAATTTTAAAAATTGCATTTTTATGAAGCTAAAATAAAAGCCCACGTCACGCCAGCCCGGTGGCTACTCCAGCTGCAGAGCAGCCTCTGTGCCTGCGAGCCGGCCCTGCGTGTCTAATGACGCTTTTGTGCGAGGTTGTTGCTGAACTGCCATGAGCCCAATTTTGAATGCAAGTTGCTTTGTGCATAGTGAAGCGTGAACAACAGCGCCGCCCATTTATCTATTTAATTCTCCAGGAGTAGCAGGAGCGGGGCCCTCCGCTCACATCTAAAGGGAAGAAAAATCGCCT